AGCTTAGTTTTCACAATGGGAGAACCAACGAAATACATTCTCATCAGAGAGGAGAAGCTTAGATCCTTCATTTTTGTGCTTTCCCATGCTCAAAACCATCAGATTACTTAAGATCTTTAAGGTATGTGCATGATAGCCACAAGAATTTTGATAGTATAGATAGAGGATGAGATCAGGGCTTAAATCTCAAGAGAACCTTAAGATCACTCAAGATTTGGAAATCCCCCCCCCCCCAACCCCCCCCTTCTCTGATACCATGATGAAGCAAAGGAGACTACACAACACACCAACTCTCATACCTTGATACAGGGCAGCTCTTTTGACCCGGGTCCAAACGGTATGTCCAGCGTGGCATATTTAAACAAAATTCCCCTGTCGAGCCCTAATTAGGGCACGGGGAAAGGAGGATGATGTTCTGGCAGGCCGCGCGGGGATCCATTGCGCGAGGATCCATCGCAGAGGCGGCGGCGGTTGCAGCAGCGCGAGCGCGATCCCGATCGTCGTCTCTCCGATCGTGCAGGCCCTACCATGACAAGGTGGTGGATCATTACGACAATCCCAGAAATGTGGGCTCATTCGACAAGGCGGATCCAAACGTGGGCACGGGCCTGGTGGGCGCACCCGCCTGCGGTGATGTGATGAAGCTCCAGATCAAGGTGGACGAATCGGGCAAGATTGTGGACTCGTGCTTCAAGACATTTGGGTGTGGATCGGCAATCGCGTCCTCGTCTGTGGGTGAGTGTGAGTGAGTCACTCCTGATGGATCGATCATCCGTCGCTGCTGCTAATTTGCAGCCACCGAATGGGTCAAGGGCAAGGGCGTGAACGACGTGATGGGCATCCGCAACAGGTGAATGGGGAACCAAGGATTCCATTCTCGCTGGTGCGTCGTCCTCGTCACTAATTCTGTTGGTTTCTCACCAGTGACATCGCCAAGCATCTGGCACTGCCGCCGGTGAAGCTCCACTGCAGCATGCTCGCCGAGGACGCCATCAAAGCTGCCGTCAAGGATTACAACAAGAAGAAGGCGGCGGGCGGCGGCATTACCGCCGCTTCATCATCTTCTGGAGCTGGATCATCCGGAGCCAAGTCGTAGGATCGGTGTCCACTTCCAAGATTTGCTGAATCAAAAAAGCCTTTTACTCTCATAGGGTTAGGGTTAGGGTTTTGCGGCACTTTCAAGTATGGCGATCCGGTCGCTCAATCCCAATGCCGAGGTGCTCAACCGGTCGGCGGCACTGCACATGAACATCAACGCTGCCAAGGGCCTCCAGGATGTGGTGTGCACCAATCTGGGCCCCAAAGGAACCATGAAAATGTAAGCTGCTCTCTCTTTGGTCTTGGATTCTTTCTTGGATTGCTTAGACCAGGCTTTCAGGCTCGTTGGGGGCTCGGGCGACCTCAAGATCACCAAAGACGGCAATACCTTGCTCAGGGACATGGTAGGCTCTTCTTTCCTCCTTCCTTCTTGGAAATGCTCACGGTTGTTTTTCGGTGAAGCAAATACAAAACGCCACAGCCATCATGATTGCCCGAACGGCTGTAGCGCAGGATGACATTAGCGGTGATGGAACTACTTCCACAGTCATCTTGATCGGAGAATTGATGAAACAGTCGGAGCGGTTCATCAGTGAAGGTAGCCCAAAGCGGATCGTTGTTTCTCGACGCACCTCTTCTGTTTTTTTTTTTTTTTTTTGCTTTTCAGGAATGCATCCGCGCATACTGGTGGATGGTTTTGATATTGCCAAGAGGGCCACGCTAGAGTTCCTTGAGAACTTCAAAATTCCAGTCGAGATTGGAGATTCTCCTGACAAGGAGATCCTCAAAATGGTCGCGAGAACAACGTTGAGAACGAAGGTAGCCTCTCATCTGTGTTCTTCTTTCTTTGGCACTCAAACAAAATGCTCACCAGGTGCACGAGGCTTTGGCAGACCAGTTGACTGACATCGTTGTTAATGCGGTATAAAGGAGATGGCCTTTTTTACATGCATTTTGAGTCTAATACACCGGCTTGCAGGTTCTTTGTGTCAAGAAGCCGCAAGAGCCCCTGGATCTCTTCATGGTGGAAATAATGCACATGAGGCATAAGTTCGATACCGATACACGCCTTGTCTGTCTTTCTACTTAACCTCATCCGTAATCGGCCTCATCTTTTTCGTCTTTGACAGGTAGAAGGCCTTGTTCTCGACCACGGGTCTCGTCATCCGGACATGAAGAAAAGGGTGGACAATGCCTTTATTTTAACGTGCAATGTCTCCCTTGAGTACGAAAAGAGGTACACGAGCCCTTTTCTTGCATTCTAAGGTTGTATACATCATCTCACGCCTTCGGCAGCGAAATAAACGCAGGTTTCTTCTATTCTAACGCGGAGCAGAGGGAGAAGATGGTGGCCGCAGAAAGGAAGCAAGTTGACGACAAAGTGATGAGAATAATCGCTTTGAAAAAACAGGTACAGGATGTTGCCGGTGTTTTCTTTTCCTGACGGCTTCATGTTTGCACCAGGTTTGCGATGGAACGGACAAATCTTTTGTTGTTATCAACCAAAAGGGGATAGATCCCATCTCGTTGGACTTGTTTGCGAAAGAAGGGGTAGTAATCCGGACTTGTCCATGGGCATTGCTGACGTTTCATCACCTTGTAGATTATTGCTCTAAGGAGGGCCAAGCGCCGAAACATGGAGAGACTGATCCTCGCTTGTGGTGGACACTCCGTGGATTCGGTGGAAGATCTCAGTCCGGACGTCCTGGGATGGGCCGGTACCGTATACGAGCACGTTCTTGGTGAAGAGAAGTACACCTTCGTGGAGAACGTTAAAAATCCACACTCTTGCACAATCTTAATCAAAGGTTGGTGGCCATACTTTCGCGGTGTTCTCAGCTACTTCTGTTTTGTGTGTGCGTGTGCAGGTCCAGATGACCATACAATTGCTCAAATCAAGGATGCCATCCGAGATGGGTTAAGGTCGGTCAAAAACACCATCGAGGACGAGGCCATTGTTTTGGTAAGTGCATGATTTCGTTTGGGAGTGAGGGTGACTGACCAGCAACGAGCAGGGTGGAGGGGCATTTGAGGTGGCGGCCAGGCAGCATTTGATGAACATTGTCAAGAGAACCGTTCAAGGGGTACATATACAGTGGCTTCTTGTAATTTGTCGCTGACGCTATTTTTTTGTCTTGATGGGGTTGATATAGCGTGCTCAACTTGGTGTGGAAGCATTCGCTGACGCACTTCTGGTGGTGCCAAAAACGCTGGCCCAGAATGCCGGGCTAGACACGCAGGATGTGCTCATCACGCTCCAGGTACACAAACAAGTGCCTTGTTTGCTACGGGAGTGTTTGACTCGCGACACTGTGCAGTCGGAGCACGACAATGGAAACATTGTGGGCTTGAATATCAACACGGGCGAAGCAATGGACCCACAGGTGGAGGGTGTGTTTGACAACTATTCCGTCAAGCGCCAAATCGTGGATGCAGCGTACGTTAGCGAATCCCTCGTCTTGCTTTGGCCCCCTCTCTCGTTCTAACAGCCCAAGCTTTTCTTTGGAGGCAGGCCGGTGATTGCTTCTCAGCTGCTGCTCGTAGACGAAGTCATCCGAGCGGGGCGGAACATGAGAAAGAATTAGGCGTGGCGTGGCGTGGCGCTGGCGAAGTTTGGTTTTTTTTTTTTGTTTAATGCAGGTAGTCCACCAAAACAGATTGAGCGAACTCTCCTCTTTATTTAATGCAGGGGCTAGTTTGTCAAACTGGCCTAGTTTAGCTCTTTCTCTTTCCTTTCCTTGGTCAGTCAGTGAGAGAGGACCCTATCAGGTGATGGAACCCTGATAGAGTCGGGGCCGGGGAAAACGATCAGTCAGCAACAGTGTTGTAGGGTTGTGCCTGGCAGTGGTAAAAGCAATGTGGTGGAGTTGTCGCATTTGACTAAAGTAAATCCTGGGCTTCTTGTCGAGGCTTGGGCTGGGCCGAGCGTGAGAGAGGGAGATGGCTATGGCGTGGTAAGCGAGGGTCTCTCTGTGGGGCTATGGCTGTGGATGAGAGGGGAGATGGGAGCCGCGCAGCTCTTAGAGCTGCAGCTCACCTCAGGCGTCCACGCTCGTCGCGCACTTCCAAAGGAACGTCAAGAGACAGAGATTTCGACTTGAATGTGGCGCCTGCGGCTGTGGAGCACGAGGCCCTTGTTTCCTGCCAAGAAGAACAAGAGCGCCAAGAAATTCACAGGCACGAGGCGCAGCCGGATGGGGGAATTGAGGTGCCGCAGCAGGAGGTGGCGAGCAAGCGCAGGAAGCACAGGCCCAAAGTAGTAGCACTCGTCCCGACTGGGACGTCGACCACCCCGAGCCCGAGCAAGCCAAAGCCAAGGCCAAAGCCGAGGAGTGGTGGCGCGAGACCAGAAAACAATGCCCAGAGGTCTCCCCGGCCCAGGAAGAGGCGAAAGCAGGAGGTATTCCTGTCGCAGTCCGTGCCGATCGGATCTGAAGCCGGGGGTCTGGGATTCACGGTACAAATCAGGGGGCCTCTCCACCAACAGATTGTTTCCGAGCAATCCGTGCTTGTGGAGCGCTCTGTGCTTGTGGAGCAGCAGCGGCAGCTTGTTGTCGATGTCGAGCAATCCAAACAGCGGCAGGAGGAGGAAGAGGAGATCGACCAGGAGTTTCCCTGGCACAAGCAATTCCTCCAGCTGCAGCAAGCTCAAGGCGGCAAGGCGAAAAAGAACAAGGCACAAATGCAATCCGTGGAACAGGGCGTGGAGGTGCTGGCTAGACTGCTCGAGAGGTTGATGCTTAAGGATAACAGCAGCTTGAGCCTGGTGCCCTTTGTTGGCGCTGGACCTGTGGTTCCAGCGAGCAATATCAAGAAGAAGAAACCTCGGGCAAAGGTGCAGCTCGATCCGGAGAGCACTCGGGTGTGGAAGCTTCTCATGGCTAACGAGGGAGAGAGCGATGAGACGACGAAGAACTGGGAGAAAGAAAGGCAGGACATGAAACAAAAGGCACTCTGTTTCATTGAGAAGATGCATCTCATCCAAGGTAAAACTGAAATCCAATCTAGCTGAACTTGTTTCTTGTCGAGCAGGAAATCGAAAATTTAGCAAGTGGAAAGGATCAGTAGTGGATTCTGTTATCGGAGCATTCCTCACGCAGAATGTGTCGGACCATTTGTCGAGGTTTAATCGGTTTAACTTTTACCACAGGCATTGCTTGTTTACATTCATCTCTTTGAATTTCAGCTCCGCATTCATGGCGATGGCCTCGAGATTTCCAGTCAAGAATCAGCCTGATGCTACTTGTTCTTCCTGCTCCTGCGAGCGCGAACATTGCTGCACTCCTCAAGATGATGTTCGCAGCCAATGCAAGCACAAAGAAGTTGTGTGTGTCGAGGGAGAGGAGGAAGAAGTGTTTATGGAGGGGAGGCGTAAGGTCCGGCGGGCCTTGTTTACAAAGCATGACAAGGAACAGCCGCCAAGCGTGGGTGACGAGGAGCAGCTGCCAAGCGTGGATGACAGGGAGCAGCCGCCGAGCGTAGATGACAAGGAGCAGCCGCCGAGCGTGGATGAAGAAACAGCTGATCAACAACCGGGAGACGATCTGAGTTCCAGCAGCAACAGCAGCTGCCTCACGGAGGTAAGCGTAGCAGCTACCATCACCACTTGTGCGAGCACGACAGCTCTGTCGCATGGCGAGGAGAATGAAACCAAGGCCAGCAACAAGAGGTCCCGGAAGGAGACGACCGTGACCGGCAAAGAGCGTGCGTTGTTGGAGCATACCCGTGGCAGCACAAAGAAGTCATATGACTGGGAAAGCATCAAGTCTAAGGTGACTTCTCGGGGACCAAATGGTAAGTCTTGAAAGAATACGAGGAAACAAGTCCCGGACTGAGTGGTGTCACTGCAGCACCAAGGCCAGAAGATAGTGCAGATTGGCATGCGGTGAGGCTGGCTGAAACGAAGGAAGTGGCGGACGTAATCAAGGAGCGAGGGATGAACAACATCTTGGCTGGCCGGATGAAGGTCAGTTGCATGCATCTAGAGCACGGGTTGTTGCGGAGATTTAACAAAGTCCGCATTCTTGCAGGGGTTCCTAGATAGGGTGTATGAAGAACACGGCAGCATCGATCTCGAATGGATCAGAGATGTGCCACCCCAAGACGCAAAGTTTGTGTGCTTTTCCATCCATCCTGCGCTGTTTTGATTTTGGACTTGTGTCTACAGGGACTTCCTGTTGAGCATACGGGGCCTTGGACTAAAGAGCGTGGAATGCATTCGATTGTTGGCACTGGACCACCTCGCGTTTCCTGTAAGTAGCTTTACGCAGCTGAGCTAGCAAGAACTTGGATACTTGTGCCTTGTAGGTGGATACGAACGTTGGAAGGATCTTGGTGCGCCTCGGTTGGGTGCCTATTCAGCCGTTGCCAGAAGAACTGGAGCTTCATCTTTTGGAACTGTGAGCCGTGTTGCCTTCTTTCTCTTGGCCCTGGATTGATCCTCGCCTTGCGCATGTAGATACCCGGTGCAAGAAACCGTCCAAAAGTATATATGGCCGAGGCTGTGCACGCTGGATCGACTCACGCTGTAAGGCATGGTCTTGTCGCTCACACCTTTTTTCTAACTCCTCATTCAGATACGAGCTACACTACCAGATGATTACGTTTGGGAAGGTAAGAAGTCCACACTTAGCTGGACAATGTACTGGACTAAATCGCTGTCTATTCCCAGGTGTTTTGCACTAAAACCCGGCCTAATTGCAATGCCTGTCCCATGAGAATGGAGTGTAGGCACTTTGCAAGTGCGTATGCAAGGTAAAAAGCTTTTGTCCTGCTGCTGTTTGTGCTAACCAGAAAACAAATCGTCTTTTGCTCAGTGCTAGGCTTGCTTTGCCAGCCCCTCCTACACAATGTCAACAACAAGGTGACAAGGCAGGACCACAACAACAAGAAGAAGTTTTGACACTCCCGCCTCCAGTCTCGCTGCCTCCAGCCACGCTTACAAATGTTGTTGCAACACCTAAGAAATGCGAGCCAATTATTGAGGAGCCTGGATCTCCCGAGCCTGAGCCCGAGTCAGAGTCATGCGAGGGCTCATCAACATGTCCCGACATGGAAGATCTGTTATTCACACAAGGAAGCGAGACTTTGCATTTGAATCTGATCGAGCAAACTCAGGCACCACCACAATATACTGTCGCATCTGCCTCATCCAAGGAACTCATGGTATTGCCTCCCGAATTTGCTTACATTCCCGTTCCGAAGTTAAAAAACATTTTTCGCCTTCGAACAGTTCACTATGTGTAAGTTTTGTTTAGATTGTTGCTTGTTACATTCGTCCTGCCTGACACTACTGTCCTTCACAGGTATGAGCTTCCAGATCACCATCCGCTGGTTCAACAGGTTTATTGATTCATGCAAGGTGTTGATAATTGACTCGGAGGTGTGAAAATGTTGCAGCTGGAACCCAGGGAGAAAGACGACCCTTGTTTCTACTTACTGGCACTATGGAGCCAAGGTAAGGAAGAGCTTGACACACTCGCATGACTCTTTGATGTCTTCTCTGTGAATTGTGAAGACGAGCAACCGCAAAACTCACAGCTTGAGAATCAACAACGCGTTGATGACGAATTTGTGAAAGGAACATTGCTGGTGTGTGAGGGCTTGGTGATGATTTGCTAATGGATTTATTTGTATTATTGTCTAGATTCCATGTCGAACGGCAATGCGTGGAAGTTTTCCTTTAAATGGCACCTATTTCCAAGTGAACGAGGTAATATTCCATTGCTCCTTTCACTTAATATTTGACTCTCTTGCTCGTGTGTAGGTGTTCGCAGACAGTGAAACAGGCAATTTTCCTTTAAATGTATCACGTAGCCTTTTGTGGAATTTGCATCGAAAGTTTGTATACTTCGGAACATCAGTTCCAGCCATTTTCAGAGGTATGTATGGCGGCTTTTTTTTATAAATTTTTTTCTCTCGTGGAAGCCTGAGGCTGGATTTCTAAAATGCAGGTCTAACCGCAGACGAGGTTCAAGCTTGTTTCTGGAAGGGTAAGATTTTCTTAAGATTGGATTGGAGTTTACTCAAGCAAGATGATCTCGCATCACAGGTTACGTTTGTGTCCGAGGATTTGATCGCAAGTCACGATCACCGCGGCCACTAGCGGCAAGACTGCATATCGCCCCAAGCAACAGAAAAGGGCAACCCATTTTTAACGATGGCGATGATTAACTTCCCGATCGAGGAAGATCAAGTGTAACATCGAACCAAAAGAATCTAGCTCTCGATTCATTTCATGATGTCTGGAGGGTCCTTGAGGTAATCCGCCTCATCCAGGAATCTGGCTTCAGTCAGCTCCAGCAGGAAGCTATCCGTCCCGTCCAAGGACTCGTGCTCAAACAGTTCCACCGGCTGCTGCTTGCTCTTGTCTTGCTGCTTGTGTTGCTGCCGCTGCTGTTCTTGCCGCTCCGACGACAGCAATCTGTCATACGCCTGCTGCTGCTGTTGCTGCTGATGAAGCTGCGAGGAGCGAGGCATGGTTGTCGGCTTTGGGAAGGAGGACGTGACCGCGGGGACGGAACGGAAGCCGCTGGGCGAACTCCTGCGAATGTCCTGGAAGAAAGCAACGCAGGACAAAGTCAGCCATCCTGGCCTCGGAAGAGAATGGCGTTACCATATGCCTGATCGCCGTGTCAAGCGACTTCTTGGAGATGCTCGTCCCGTAAAAGGAGGTCTCCCTTGGGCCGCCGCTGCAAGCTTTTGTTGTGGCAGGCTTCCTGAGTGGCTCCGACTTGGGGTGGATTAGAGAGTCGTTTGTGGAGGTGACGGCCCGCCTGCTGAAGCTAGACATATCACGGTCCAAGTGGTTGTAACTCCTGGTGAGGTGGGATGGCAACGTAGATGCGGCACCTCCCAAATCCGTTCGCGAGATTGCTGCGCCGCGAGAGTTCGATGACGAGCGCTCGTGAGCTGCCGCTGGCTGCTGCGACCGGCGAACTGGAGACGTGCCCCGCGAGCTTCTGCCGTTGGACATGGTCGAGGTGACGAGTGTGGAGGTGGGAGTAGACGTAGAGGAGGAGGATCTCCTGGTTGGCGTGGACGACCTCGAGGAAGCTGGCGAGGGCCTTGTTGGCGTGGAAGGCCTGGAGCTGGTGCTGCTCCTGGGCGCTGGGGTCGGCGTGGACGGGCGACGAGCAGACGAGGAGAGGGACGGGGAAGGAGATGGTGCCGTGGACGGCCTTCTGGTCGGAGTGGAGGGCCTTGCATTCCCGCTGCTGCCATTGGCGACGGAGGTGGTGGCGGCGGTGCTAGTGGCGGCAACCAGTTGCTTGGGTCTCGAGGAGGAGAAGGACGTAGTAGCGGGCGGAGCACTCTGCCTTCGGGGACTGGGATTGCCCCTCACGCCGCTGCTGCTGCTGATGCTGCTAGTGTACAGCCTGGAGCCGGATCCTCCAGAGGAACCTGACGATGACGACGACACCAGCAGCTGCTGGGCCTCGGGCGCAGAGAGCTGTGGAGAAAGAAAGAAAAGAAAAGAAAAAAACAAGGAGGCAAAGCAAGAAAGAGAAATGAGCTGAGCAGAGCAGAGCAGAGCAGGCACATGTTCCAACAAAGCACACTCACTCTGGACAGCTTGCTCGGCCAACGAGACGACTCCCGCTCCCTTTGGGGCTCCCTCTCCCGCTGCGTGGGACTTGCGACGAGCCAGTCGCGGTCTAGCGATGGGAATAGCGGTGTGCCGGGCGGAGTGAGCAGCCTGCGGAAACATCCATGTTTCAATCATCCCATGTCTATACGTGACATACCAATCGTAGTCGTTCTTGTCAGTCTCGGATGTGAGCAGATCATTGGATCCCCTGCTGCGCGCGTGAGCTAATCCTCCTCGAATGTGGCTTCCTTTGCCTGCGAATGCGAAGGAACGAGAGAGAGAGAGAGAGAGAGAGAGGGAGAGGGAGAGGGAGAGCGAGGAAGAAAACAAAAACCAATCGGTCAGCAAGTCTCGCACAGAGACAAGAATGAAGAAGAATGTTCTTGTTTGTAACTAAGCTTTACCGTTGCTGCTGCCATGGAGTGGAGTGTGCTGCTGATCCATTGCTGCCTCCATGCTGCCGTTGTGCTCCTCCCGGATGCGCATGTCTTGAAACAATGCCAGATCCTCGTCCCGCCGCTGTGGCTGCTGCTGCTGCTGCTGCTGCTGGTAGTGGCGAGCTGCCACCATATCCTCCCACGACGACGAGGAGCCGCCTCCTCCCGCCCGTCGCAGCATCGTCCTCGCGCTGCTGCCCTAAATCTGCATGACCTCTTCCTTCTCTACTTGCGCTTATTAGGGCAAGGAACAAGGAATGTAAGAAGAAAGAGTGAGACGCGCCGTCTACAATGACTCGCTCTGGCACCTAAAAAACACATGGGAGACTCTCCACTATGCTAGGGTTAGGGCAGGGCGATCGATCCATCGATCCATCGCGAGCAGGATACGATGTGCGGGATCTTCGCCTACCTCAACGTCGATGTGCCGCGGGAGAGGCGATTCATCCTCGAGCTCCTCTTCAACGGGCTCAGGCGGCTGGAATACAGGGGATATGATTCAGCTGGCATCTCCATCGATTCCGATCAGAGGCCTCCCACTTCCAAGTCGCTCTCGCTGCGCACCCCTCCCCCGCTCGTCTTCCGCGAGGAAGGGAAGATCGAGAAGCTCGTCACCAATGTCTACCAAGGTGAGTGAGTGAGCGAGTGAGCTCTTCCCTCTCGCTCTCGTCCTTGGGCATTTTTGCTAACGGTGGTGCCCGGCTCCAGAGGCTTACCAGAGCGAGCTGGACTTGGAGCTGTGCTTCAGCAACCATGCCGGGATTGCGCACACAAGGTGGGCAACTCACGGCCTTCCCTCGCCGCGCAACAGCCATCCCCAGTCATCTGGAGCTGGGAATGACTTCCTCGTCGTTCACAACGGCATTATCACCAACTATATGGTCTCTCTGCCTTTCTCATGTGTTTCTCTCCCTCGTAACCTCCTCCATTTTCAGGTGCTGAAAGAAACGCTGCTGCGCCACGGTTTTGAATTCGAGTCCGAGACTGATACCGAGGTCATTCCCAAGCTTGCCAAGTTCGTGCACGACAGGCTGTCCGAGGGTAAGCATCTGGGACTAGTCTCCCATTTAATGCGTCCCCTCCTTAACTTTTTTGCAGAAGCCGCGGATGTCTCGTTCACGCAAGTAGTGATGGAAGTTATGAGGCAGCTCGAGGGAGCGTATGCACTCATCTTTAAGAGTCCTCACTATCCCAATGAGCTCGTGTCGTGCAAAAGAGGTAGCCCGCTGCTCCTAGGAGTCAAGGTTGGTCGGCATTACTACTCAACGCTCTTACTATCGTTAAATCTGTTGTCTACTGCCAGGATGCCGGCGAGGAGTATGCCAAAGCCGATGCTTTCGAAGCCGATCTCACCACGGCAAACGGGATCAAGAAGCCCAAGGAGATCTTCCTAGCAAGTGATGCGGCAGCCGTGGTTGAGCATACAAAGCGGGTCATGATCATTGAGGACAACGAAGTCGTCCATATCAAGGTTTTGTGATGCTTCTTTCTCGCTTCCTTAAAAATCCTCACCTTGTTTAGCTGATTCTAGGATGGAAACATCTCCATTTTCAAGTTCGATTCCGACAAAGCAAGAAAGCCTGGGGGTCTATCGAGGCCAGCATCGGTTCAGCGAGCCCTTTCTCTTCTTGAACTTGAAGTTGAACAGATCAAGAAAGGCAACTACGAGCACTACATGGAAAAGGAGATTTTTGAGCAGCCAGAATCGCTGACGACAACCATGCGCGGCCGCCTCATTCGTGGGGGTGAATCCAAGCTGAAGAGTGTTGTTCTAGGAGGTCTCAAAGATCATCTGAGGACAATGAGGCGAAGTCGGCGAATCATTTTTATCGGCTGCGGCACCAGTTACAATGCTGCACTGGCAGCAAGGCCGATCATTGAGGAGCTTTCCGGTAGAGTCCTTACTTATTACCATTGTCGTCCAATCTAATGTCTGTAATGCAGGTGTTCCGGTCACAATGGAACTGGCAAGCGATCTGCTCGATCGACAAGGCCCAATATACAGGGAAGACACTGCTGTTTTCGTCAGTCAATCCGGAGAGACTGCTGACACTCTACAGGCTCTCGAGTATGCCAATTCCCATGGAGCTCTTTGCGTCGGTATAACCAACACTGTGGGTAGTGCTATTGCTCGTGGCACCCATTGTGGAGTGCACATAAATGCCGGATGTGAGATTGGAGTGGCGAGTACTAAGGTTCGTTCGCTCTTTATCTCTGCCCTGCGATTCTAACGGGCTCTTGCTGCGCCAGGCATATACAAGCCAAATAGCAGTTATGACTATGTTGGCTCTGGCGCTTGGGGACGATTCAATGTCCAGCCGGAACAGAAGAGAAGAAATTGTGGACGGACTTTTTGACCTTCCAAGTAAGACACACTTGTGCACCATCTCTACAGGATAACATTTTTCTTTTCGCAGATAAAGTCAAGGAGGTGTTAAAACTAGACAAAGACATGAAGGAGCTGGCCAAGCTACTCACCGAAGAGCAGTCGTTGTTAATATTTGGGCGAGGTTACAACTACGCTACTGCTTTGGAGGGCGCCTTGAAAGTCAAGGAAGTTGCTCTGATGCACAGCGAAGGGATTCTAGCAGGGGAAATGAAGCACGGCCCGCTTGCGTTAGTCGACGAGACACTGCCGATAATAGTCATTGCAACGCGAGATGCTACCTTCAGGCAAGCGCTCCGCCCCTGCTTTCTTCTGCTTACTTACTCACGAAGTTATGCCTTGATCCCTGACAGTAAGCAGCAGTCTGTTATCCAACAGCTTCGAGCCAGAAAAGGCCGACTGATCGTCATATGCACAAAGGGCGATGCGGAAGCGGTCTGCCCCTACGGCGTGTCTCGAGTCATCGAAGTTCCCCGAGTTGAAGACTGCCTACAACCTGTTATCAACATTGTGCCGCTTCAGGTAACGTCTCCTTCCGCATTATATTCCCAAGGCTGACATTAGAAATCTCTTGTAGCTCCTTGCGTACCACCTGACCGTGTTGCGGGGTTACAACGTGGATCAGCCACGCAACCTGGCAAAAAGCGTCACAACACAGTGAATAAGAGTGGCATATACATACATCAAAGAACACAGCTCTTTTGGTTGTGCCAACGAGAAGTGACAAGAATTTTGTAACATTTACAACGCTTGAACGACGCGAGAAAGCACCGCAACATGTTCGTCCTTATTCGCGCACAGGGAGCCTCAGGTGTTTTCAACGTCGATGTCTATTATATCCGGGTCCCCGGTCCCCTTGGAAGAGGAGAAGTCATCTCGTGGTTGCCACACGACGTTCCTGCAACCCCGGCACACGATTACTTGACCTCGGCTGCCAATAAACTGCGTCTTGCAGTTGGGACAAGCTCCCTGCCGACAAAGCTTGCTTTTAGCACAAGGGGAAAACTCTCCCATTCAGTCGTGTACCTCGACAATGGTGTTCCTTGCAATGGTTCCGATGAGCAAAGGCGCTGCTATGGGGAGAACCCACATAGAGATAACGAAGACTTTGAATATCCAGCCCGAGAGAACGAGCCACGCAAACATGATCGTCTGGTCGAAACGAGAGAGTGATGAGATGGTGAAGAACAAAACGAGAAGCAGGACTTACGCTCACTAACTTGCCCAGAGGAGTGTCGAGGAACTGTGAAACCCGTCTCCTGTACTGCAAGGCAACGAATTGTATCAAAAGAGGATGGGATGGAGATGGAAGAGCTGAGAGCTTACAGTGGGCCATTTCATCCGCGCATCAACGCCAAACATTCGCGCTCGTTGCCTGATCCTGAGGCGCGAGTCCGCGGCGTGGAGCTGGTCCTTGACGTAGTCGACAAACTCGGCCCCCCTGTGCGTGAAGCGATACTTGCGATTCCACTCGTTGGCATTTCTCCTCACCTCAAACCCCATGTCCTCCATTCTCTGGTTGGCACTCCGGGTGAATTTCCGCACACGCTCGCGGACATGCTGCTCCTCCTGGAATTCCTGCGCCCGCCGCCTGGCATCCCTCAAGAGCTGCTGCGCCGTGTCCGACACCGTCCGCGCCGCTCCTCCCACCTTTTGCCGGGCCTCCTCCGCCAGTCGCTCCAATGGATCGCCACTCCTGCTGCTGCTGCTGGCGCTGGCCCTCAATCGCACCGGCTGCTGGCGCCCCCGCCGCTGCATCGCCACCGCCGCGGCGCCAGCACAGGACCAAGCGCCGCCGCCGCCGCCATGCACAAGACCCTCCATCACACCAGGCCTAGGTCGGTTTCCGCATACACGACGCCCATGGTGTTTTGTATTGACACGAGAAGAAGATATTTACACAAACAAATGCGCGCTCCACCACCACTTTAAACGTGCTCTCTCAAGAGTACGACTTGACGAGGCCCAGGCCGTGAAAGAATCGCTCCGACAGGTTCCCAAACGAGAAGCGCGACCGGCTCATGCCCCCCGCCGCCGCCACCTCCGCCGCCACCTCCGCCGCTCCCTCTCCTCTTCCCTCCTTGACTTCCTCTTTCACCTCCAGGATTGCCTGCCCAATCTCCAGCCGCAGCGCCTCCACCACCTTCATGCTCACCGCCTTGCCCGATGTGTCCGTCACGTAAAACACATTGACAGCCCTGTCGCCCCGGGTGGACACATCGGCCCTTGTCACCGACAGCCCCTTCTCCCTGAACACCCTGGTTACGTCCGACAGCAGACCAACCCGGTCTCGGGTACACAGCTCCAGTCGCAGCCCCTGGAGCAGCGAGCGTTACTGCAAACCGAGAGGAGATTTTTAAGAAGTACCTCGGACACTCGCCGCTCGATTGCTGCCTCCAAGCACTTTACCACGCGCTCCTGCTCGGCATCCAGATCCAGCGTGCAGCCATCCATGTGTCTGATGTAGTACTCCTGTCACGGACGAACCGGATGAGCGAGAAAAAAGAGAGAAAAAAAAAAACTGGCAAACCTGGTATGCGTATGGGCCGTCTGCTCTGGCTGACGCATGAAATACCACATACTCCATGTCTGTCAGCGTGCACACTGTGTCAAAGAGCAGCTTGGGACGGTCCTTGCACTGGACGCTCACGACCGAGTAGCCCTTCTCGAGGCAGTTCCGCAAGCTTATGACGGGCCTGATCCTGGCATCCAGGACCGCGTTGATGCTGCTTGTGCTGCTGGGAACATCGTAGTCGCGGTCGGCCAGCATCATCTGGTGCAATCGTCTCTCTGTGTGCGTGAGGCCCGACGAGAAATCGGTCGTTGCAAGCCTGTTCTCGTCGTCCCCTCTCAACACCTGCGAGAGCTGCTCTTTCATTCTGGCCAGCTTCTCGGGGTCTTTTATCGGGCAGCCTGTCGCCTCGTCGGTCACGTAAACGACGCAGGCAACACGCTTGTTGTGTGTCCACACTTCGGCTGCCACTACATTGCACGTCATGCCCGTTAGAACCCCCGATATCTCTGACAAGAGACCCGGCCGATCTCTTCCAGAGAGCTCAATTGCCGTGTGCCCGCCACTGGACTGCGTCCCAACAGTCGGTGCAAGGGAAGTCTTCACCTGACTCGTCGTTGCCTGTGCATCTCCAAGGGACTGCGAAGCATGGTTTTGGTTTCACACGAAAGTTGCAAGAAGGAAAACGCCAGACCAACCTGCTGTATGTAGTCGATTATGCCCTGGTCCCTGAGCTTGTGTCCCAGCTTATCGGTGACATGGAAAACTGCAGGGAACCATCAACAAAACAAGCCGCAGAGACGAGAAACCATACCGTCCATGAACCAGCCACCATCCGACGAGATGTACGCCTTTGAAATGGTGAGATCCAAGTCCGTGAGCACTTGCACAACTTCCAGTAGAATCCCGTGCTTGTTGGCACTGTCAACCTGCAAAACCACCGCAAACTCTGGGAAAATGCAAGGGAGAACAAACAACACCAGTGATAGCTACCTTGACAAGCGTTGCATCATCGCAGCTCGAGTTGTCGATGACAACGCTGAGGAGAAAAGAAGCGAAATGAAACAAGGGCGGGATAGAAAATGGAAGAATCACGCACCTGGGAGCGTTGAGCCTGGAGATGAGAGTATCGTAGTCAGGATCGAAATAGGGACAGCCTCGCCCCGACATTCTGGCAGGCAATCCATCCAGCTCAACAAGTTTGCGCGATTTAGCTAAGCTTAGAAACCTACCGCACGCCCGCAACTTGCATGCTGCTCGATCACCTCAACAACAGTGGCGCATCCAAGCGCGGCGCGCTTCTCTGGCTTTCCCGACGCCGACGCCGCCGCCGCCGCCACCGACCCCGCCCCTCACATCCGCCGCCATGGCAGTGCGACGAGGAGACGAACAGTTAACCTTGACAGCTAAAACCTAGGTCCAGGTAATTAGGGTTCTTGGGGGTGTTTCGCAAAATGGGGGAGGAGAAGCGCGAGAATCTCATGGAGTCGCTCTTCGGGGAGGAGTCGGATGACGACGCCGATGCCGCCGCCTCCTACTCTGTAAGTTGGATCGATCGCTGCCAACATTGGACTGAAAGATCTGCCGCTGGTGCTCTAGGAGGAGGAGGGCGAAGGCGAAGGCGAGGCAGAGGGCGGTGGTGCCGAGAGCGGTGGCGACAGGGAAGAGAGCGAGGGCGAGAGGGAAGCCAGTGAGGGCGACAAGGAGGAGAGCGAGCATGAGAGAGTGTCCAGGAGGAGCAGTGATGACGGAGGTGGTGAAGAAGGGAGCGCCGCCAGCGGCTCTGAGAACGATGGACAAGTCCAGGGGGAGGAAAGGGAAGCAACTCGCAGGTATGCTGTTGGCTTGTTTCCTGGCCTCTCTTCTCACGGGAAAAATCGCAGCGAGGAGGTGGAGGAGCAGCGTGGTGCTAGAATTCGTGCAGCATTGGGTGATTCTGATGACGACGATCAGGAGGAAGGAGGAGTTGACGGCCCTCGCAAGCCGTCGAGTCCAGAGGTAGGGTGGACGAAGCTGCTTGTTCGTGTCATCCAAAGTCAGTCATTGATAGTGTGAAGCAGGGGGAGGGCTCGGACTTGGAGGGAAGCTACCACAAAGATAGTAAGCGGGGCGCAGAGGATGACGAGGAGCAGTATTACTCTGATGAAGAGCGCGCAGAAATCAAGAAACCCAAGGGTGAACCTCTTACAGTAGAAGTTCCACTCAGGCAACCTCCAACTCAGGCTCACAACGCAAGTAGTTTGGCACTTGTTTTTTTTTTCATTATCTCGTGAGCTTACGGGCCTTTGCTTCCAGATGAATCTCGTCAGGATCTCCAACATTATGGATATAGAGCAAAGGCCTTTTGATCCAAAGACATATGTCGAAGAGGATGGATTTGTTGATGAAACTGGCCGACGCCGTATACGTATAGAGGAGAACGTGGTGCGCTGGAGATACGTCAGGAATCGGGATGGCTCGCGCTCGGTACGCTTTTGTGATGAACGGCTATTTACTTATACGTGTGTAGGCCGAGAGCAACGCCCGGTTTGTGAAGTGGTCCGATGGTAGCATGCAACTTCTTCTCGGCAATGAAGTTCTGGATCTTGCTGTTCAAGATGGGCAACAAGACGAATCACACTTGTTTATCCGTCAGCCCAAGGTTCGAACACTTTCTTACTTTTCGCAGTTCGGTTTGATTATATTCAACTTCTTCTCTCTTGTAGGGATTATTACAAGCCCAAGGGAGGCTGGCACGTAAGATGAGATTCATGCCTTCGTCGTTGAGATCGAAGTCGCACCGTCTCTTGACTGCTCTCGTGGATTCTACGCACAAGAAGGTTTTCAAAGTGAAGAACGTGATCACGGACTTCGATCCCGAGAAGGACAAAGAACAAAAAGAGAAGGTTGTCCTTGTGCTTGTTACTTAGTTCTGACGTTTTGAATCGCCCAGGCAGCAGAACAGAGGATTAAAAGCAAAGAAGATCTCCAAAAAAAGCAGGAGAAGACGATGCGTAAATACCCCCCTACACGGGAGAGAGAACCTCAGCTGTCTCCTGGATACCTTGAAGGGGCGCTTGAAGAGGTTCGTCAACTCTGTTTTACTTTCATCGGCAATAGCTTATGGTAATCGTTTTTCAGGAGGATGAAGATTATGACGACGAGGGGCGTAGCAACCGACGGTACCAAGAGCAGCTTGACGCCGAAAGCAGGGCGGAGAGACGAATCAACCAGGTTAAGCGGGTAAGTAAGCTCATCAAGAGCCGCATACTTAATATCTGGCTGTTTCTTCGCATGCATACAGCAACCACCAAAGGCAATGGAGCGACGCCCTTCTTCGCGGAGCAGGAGGGATATTTTGGAAGACGAGGATTCAGACGAGAGCGACCGCAATAGAGGTGCGCGAGGTGATGAAGGTGAGGAAGAGCAGGAAGATGACGAGGGGGAGGAAGAAGAGGAGGAAGTGGAGGCAAGGGATAGCCGCCGCAAGAGGAAAGACAGGGATAGGGAACAGCTGCAGCAGCAGCAAAATTCGCCTCCCAGAAAGCAGCAAACGCACAGGCGGAGAGCAGTAGTTAGTGACAGCGATGAAGATTGATCTATCGATGGATGGAGCTCACTATTCTTATTTATTATACAAGCGAAAAGATCGTGTTTGCCACTAAGTTCTTCAGGTTTGGTTTCTCGCCACAGGTTGCAAGAGTAGAATAGATAGGGGCAGCCAGGGAAGTGTGGCGCCATGGCAAGTGTGCATACGAACTGCGTTGGTACTTATGTTCGTCCAGCAGTTCCAGGTGATTATTTCATTCTGGCAGTAACGATATGTCTCGTTTCTTCACTGCGGCTGCCGTGTAGCCACTTCAAGTCGACCGCCATTCAATGCTGCTGCTGCTGCTGCCTGTCCACTGTAAGGGGTATTGGTGCTCTCTTTGCGACTACTGTTTTTTTCGTGCTTTCCAGGCTGAGCAAGAGAAATCTCTTATTGTTGGTGCCTCTGTTGGCGATGCCGGCGACGCCTGTGTTTGCTGCTGGTATTGTACTTGTCAATCGTTCGTTAAACTTTGATGCAAGACAGGAGCCTCAGATGAATATCAAGTATACGAGGAACAAGACAAGTTCTCCCTCACTGTACCCAAAGGTGCTACCTTGTTTTGCAAGTTCTTCTCTAATCGTCTCAGCGTGAATGCAGACTGGATAAAAGGCGAGGGGAAAGCCGGATCCAGAAGAGTGGTGGCATTCCATCCATCCAAGGCTACTTTCCCAAACGGTATAACGACGAGAGTTTCATCTCTGGATCTCACTCGCTATCGTCGCTCAAGCAGTGAACGTGATCATCACGAACCTGGGTGCCGACTTCACCGGGATCGGCTCACTGGGATCCGTGGACGCGTTCGCCGCGAGCGTGGTGAGTTGACGTGCGCACAGGCAGAGAGAGTGTTTCTTGAGGATTCACGCAGGTTGGCAGCATGGATAGAAGCTACAAGCGGCCGCCTGGAACAGCGGCTCGGCTGGTGAATGCTGTGTCGAGAAACGGCATGTATTATCTCGACTACACCGTCCAGACGCCCGGGGAAGCCCAGCGCCATTTCTTCTCGGTGGCCGGTGTTGGCGAGACGCAGTTTTACAAGCAGCTCTACACGGCAACCGGCCAGGTACTTGTACTGCTTTCGGAAATGCCGAGCTCTCAAACAAACTTTACGTGAGTTTGCAGTACTGGGAGGCTGATGGAGACAGGGACAGGAAAGCATTGCAAGAGGTACAAGTTTCTTCATTTTTTCTTTGCCGCTTGACTCGTGCTTGTTACTGCTGCAGGCGATAGAGTCGTTCCGGATTGTTCACAAGTGATGGTGCTCAAACAGCACCAGTTTCCACGCATCCAGAGTGACGTACGTTGTTTGGTGAGGAAGCTGTTAAATCGTCCCGAGGTCCATTTATGAAGCACAGAAACCATCGCCACCGCCAGGAAGGATGTGCAATCAACAGGCGCCGGCTGTGCTCTTCGGTTTGTTTCCACACTCGATCAATGGATCCGTGAGTTCTATTTAAACGGAGATAGCTCTAGTCAGTTTCGTTCTAAAGTTTTTCTTCTTGGAGCTTTTGGTTTGTAACGCAGCTTGCTCGATCCTTGTCATGGCCAAAGCAGTGGTGGCGGTGGCAATGCTGGTGCTGGTGCTCGTGTGCTATGCCGAGGCTGCTTGCAGCAACAATTACATTCAGCTGGCTGGCTGCCTGAATGCGGTGAGCAGCAGCGCTGGCTACCCGGGCAGCTCGTGCTGCACTGCCGTCTCCCACTTCAAGAACGATGTAAACTGCCTGTGCAGCACCCTGGTGGCAGCCAAAAACGCCGGAGTCATCCGCAACATGCCCAACGCTCTCACCGTGCCCAAGCGCTGCGGCTTCAAGAACAACATCCCCAAGAACTTCCGCTGCGCTGGTACGTTTTTCGTTTACTCACTTCGGTCATACCCGTTTCTTTCTTGGCAGGCTACAAGGTGGGAAGCTAAGCAGCCATACCGGCTGGTAAGCTAAGCAGCGTATAACAAGAGAATAAGGGACGCGCGTTTCTTGCAAGAACAGGGAACACGAGCGAGAGTGTTGCTCTGTTGCATGCGTTTATCTCGACGTGACGAGAGCTATACTATAATCTAGCTAGAGTGGAGTAGCAAAATTCACGGCCTCCTCAAAGCGCACACTGAGCTCCTGGATGGTCTCTTGCATCTTGAGCCGCTTCCTCTCCTGTTCCTCCTCCAACCTCTGTGTCTCCTCGTCGTGTTCGTCCAGATCCCTGATCACCACCTCCAGCGACCGCTTGTTGCTGGTATTGAGATCCAAAGTGGGAGGAGGAGCGAGGGTGGCGGCGGCGGCAGCGGTGGGAGAGCTGCTGCCACTGGCGGTGTCGGGAGGCGGCGGAAGAGCGGGTCTCGGTTGCCTCTTCCCCGCGGCTCTAGCCACAATCTCTCTGTACTGCTCTATCCCAGCCTTGGCTTGGACGATGGACCAGAACACCTCCCTCGCATCAGCAGTTTCCGCGATGCCAGTCGCTTGCTGCAAAGCCTGCTTCATGAAATGCGTCCCCAGGAGCAGCGTCGCCTCCCACATGAAGATCCGCCGCTTCCTCTCCGCCAGAGCCTCGCATGCCTTCCTCACAAACCCCGCGATGCCGTCGTCGGCCGAGGCGCGGAAGGCGCGAGACAAAGGATTGCGAGAATCACCCCGTTGAGGTTGCTGCCGCCCGCCCGATTGCTTCTTCTTCTTCTTGCCCTTCTTCTTCTTCCTCTTGCTGTGCTGCTGCTCCTGCTTTTTGCGCGGCGCGGCGGCGCTGGACAGGGCGAGGCGCTCCAGCTCCAGCTCGATCATCGCCCAAAAGCCAATAAACCCTAGACCTAAGAAAACCATGAATGCTTGTCAATCGCCTCCCGCGCGATCGCCAGCAGCGGCGATGGATGCACGCGGCGGCGATCCCAGCGGCGCTGCCTGCGGTGGTGGTGCGCAAGCACCGGCCATCGGCATTGAGCAGGGAGAGCGTGGAACGGATGGTCGCGTGCGTGGAGAGGAGCGGCGTTGCGGCGGAGGCGAGCACGTATGCCCGGCTGCTCCAAGCGTGTGCGCGGCTCAAGGCGCTGTCCCAGGGCCAGAGGATTCACGCCCACATCCTCTCCAGCCACAGCTCCTCCGGATCCTCCTCCACTCTCGTGCTCAACCATCTCATCAACATGTATGGCAAATGCGGTCGCGTGGAGGAGGCCAGGGCGGTGTTCGCGTCCATGGAGCACCCCAATCTCGTGTCGTGGAACACCATCATCGCCGCCCACGCCGCCGCCGGTGATGGCCGTGGCGCCCTGGCGGTGTTCCGCGCCATGCAGCTCGAGGCCTCCGTGGTGCCCGACCGGGTGAGCTTCACCAGCGTTGCCAATGCCTGTGGCAGCGCGAGGGAGGCGCGGATCATCCACGCCAGCGTCGCGGCGCGGGGATTCCTCGACGACGTGATCGTTTGCACCGCCCTCATCACCGCCTACTGCCGCTGCGGCAGCCTGGGCGAGGCGCGCGCCACCTTCGACGCCATGGCGCCGCGCGCCAGGAACGTCGTGACGTGGACGGCGCTCATCGCGGGGTATGCCCAGTCCGGGCATCTGGAGGAGGCGCTGGATCTCTTCTGGAGCATGGCGGAGCACGACGGCGGCGGGGGCGAGACGTGGAGCGTGGCTCCCAACGCCGTCACCATTGTCACCGTCGTCAACCTGTGCGCCGAGTTTGCGGCGCTGGATCAAGGCAAAGCCATCCACGATCGCTGCATCCATGCCGCCGCCATCCGCGATGATCCGTCCGTCACGGCCGCCCTCGTCAACATGTATGGGAGGTGCCAGCGCCTGGACGAGGCGTTTGCGGTGTTCGATGCAGTCCAGTGTCCCACTGCCTTGGCGTGGAACGCGATCATCTGTGCCTGCGCCCGCAATGGTCGAAGCGATCGGGGCCTGGAGCTCTTCCACAGGATGATGGCGGCACTGGACGCCCCGGAGCGAGAGGTTGGCGTCGCCACCTTGTGCGCGGCGCTGGTAGCGTGCGGCGAGTCGGGACTGCTGGATCAGGGGCGATCGGTCCACGACTTGATCCGCCGCCGCGCCGCCGCTGGGACGGAGCCCAGCGTCCAGATCGGCACGTCGCTCGTCACCATGTACGCCAAGTGCGGCAGCATCGAGGACGCGCGCCTCGTCTTCGACTCCATGGCGGAGAGGAACGAGGTGTCGTGGAACGCAATGCTGTCCGGCTACTCGCAGCACGGCCACGGCGCGCAGCTGCTGCACCTCTTCCGCGCCATGCTGCAGGGCGGCGTGCAGCCCAACGCGGTGACGCTCCTGCCGGTGGTGAACGCGTGCAGCAGCCTGGCGCAGCTGCGGCAGGCTGACGAGTGGTGCACCACGCCGCCGCTGGCCGCCGCTTGCGACGCCATGCTGTGCAACGCGCTCGTCTACATGTATGGCAAGCTCGGCAGCGTGGAGGACGCCTGGAGCATGTTCCACAGGTGTAGCATCCGCAATGCGGTCACTTGGAACGGTCTCATCACTGCGTATGCCCGTCGCTGCAGCCAAGGCCAAGGAGGAGGAGGAGGATTTGAAGCGGAGGAGGTGATGGCGGGCTTGCAGCTTCTGCGGCAAATGCATCTAGAAGGCGTGCCGCCGGACCGAGTCACCTTTATATCCCTGTGTGGCCTCTACAACAAGCTTACGCTGCTCGGCTCCCCCGGCATGGCGTCCGAGCAGCCACAGCAGCCAGCGCGAGTGTCCTCGGTCCTGACCGTGGCGGCGAAGGAGATGGTGGCGCAGATCCTGGACACAGGGCTGGATTGGGATGCCGCGATTGGGACGGGACTCATCAGCCTGCTGGGTAAATGCGGGGACGTGGATGGCGCGGCGGGGATGTTTGCCAAGATGGCGGCGGTGCGCAGCGGCGGTGGCGACGTCGTGCCGTGGAACGCGATGATGGGAGTGTGCGTTCTCAACGCGCAGCCGTGGCGGGCGCTGCATCTCTACAAGGTGATGCAGCTGCATGGCGTCAAGCCGGACTCGACGTCGGCGGTGTGCCTGCTGTCGGATGCGTCCCTGGCGGCGTCGCGCGGTGTCGGGGAGTGGCTCGAGTCCGGCCTGTCCGGGAGTGGCGTGGAGGAGGAGGTGGCAGTGAGGAACGCGTGCATCAACATGCATGCCAAGCGTGGCGACGTCGATCGCGCCGCCGCTATCTTCGCCTCCATGGTGGCGGCGCGGGACGTTATCTCCTGGAACGTGATGATGGCTGGCTACGCCAACGCCGGCAGGGGAGACGAGGCGCTGCTGCTCCTCCGGCAAATGGAGCAGCACGGCTTCCACCCCGACAGGGTCACCTACGTCAACTTCCTCAACGCCTGCGACAAGGCGGAGATGGTGGAGCACGGCCGGAGCATCCACGGCAGGATTGTCCTCCAGTCGCGCGACACGCCGGCGCTCTCCCTGCGCACCAATGCCGTGGTCGGCTGCGCGCTGTGCAGCATGTACGCCCGCTGCGGCAGCATCGACGAGGCGGCGGCGGTGTTTGCCGGCATGGAGCAGCGCAACGTCGTGTCGTGGAACGCCATGATCGGGGCGTACGCGCAGCACGGCCGCGGGCGCCTGGCGCTGGCGGTGTTTGGCGGCATGCAGCAGCACGGCGTCAAGCCCGACGCCATCACCCTCATCAGCGTGCTGGACGCGTGCGCCGGCGCGGGTGACGCGCGGCGCGGGAGTCAGGTGCACGGCTGGAGCCTCCAGCTCCAGCTGCGCTCGGCGGCGCTGGACAACGCGGCCGTCAATATGTACGCCAAGAGCGGCAGGGTGGCGGCGGCGCGCGAGGTGTTTGAAGCCATGGACTCGCAGCGGCGGACGATCATGTCATGGAGCGCAATGGTGGCAGCTTACGCCGGGGTCGGGCACGCCGAGGAGGCGTTCCGGCTGTTCCACGCGATGCAGCGCGAGGGCGTCCGCCCGAATCACGTCACCTTGATCAGCATCCTCGGGGCGTGCAGCCACGCCGGGATGCTCCAAGCCGGCTGCTCGTGCTTCGCGTCCATGGCGGCGGACTACGGCGTGTGGCCGCGCGAGGAGCACACGGGGTGCGTGGTCGACATGCTGGGCAGAGCGGGATGGGTGGAGCAAGCGCACCGCCTGGTGCAGCGCAGTGGTGCCGGCGGCGGCGGCGGCGACGCGCAGGCGTGGATGGCAGTGCTGGGCGCGTGCAGCCAGCAGGGCGACACGCTGCGCGGTACCTGCGTGGCATCGAGCTTGATTGCCCGCCACCCCCAGGCCGCGGCTGCCGCCTACGTTGCGCTCTCCAATTCCAAGCTTGCTGCTCCGAGCTAAGGGTTGGCACGCCATGAACTCTTCAGAGTGACTACCGGAGAGAGAGGAGGAGGACAATCCGAGATCTTCCCATGCGAGCATGTACTTGGATGAAAGTTTTGGGTGTGCGCTTTGGTGTTCCAGCTTAGTTCCAAGGCTGAGGACCGAATTATAAGAGTGTGGAAACTACAACCAGACAGTCATGGACAGGAAAGCTGCTGCGGTGAAGCTGAATCCGTTGTTGGTTTACTTGCTAGAGGAGTTTGGGAAGGTCGTGAAAGGAAAGATCCAGGGCTTGAGCGGTCTGGAGGTGAGTTTTTGGTGGTGACAAGAGAGATGACAGAGAGTGTTTCAACATGCCAACTTTGGAAATGGCTTAGCTTGGATCTGATTCCTTCGATCAAGTCTGCGCTTTTCCAACAAAGTCCATGCAAAAAATGGCAGACCATTCGCTCCTTCACGGACAAAAGCTGACAAAGGAGAACAAGGATCAAGCGTCCAATGGATCAAGGAACAAGGATCAAGCAACAGTAATTGCTAATCGTTGCGTTCAATGTAAAGAGTTCAACATAAACCAGCTCAAAGCTCCCTGGAGTTCTTTCGAACTCCCAGCTCCTACTAATTCCTCAGCAACCTGTCAAGACCTACAAGAAAGATGGGAGCCGTAACTTAGGAGTCGATGGGTGTTCCACATTTTAATTCTTTTTCCTGGAGGAGGATTGGATCAGAGATGGGCGGCTATATCAATTCTGGTAAGGCGCTCTGTGATCATAATCAGACATATCGATGCTGTAGTTCATGGTTGATGAAGTGCTGACTTTAAACTCGCTGTGGAATATGATGAAAGTGTTTTTTTTTTTGGCCTCCACAAAACTAGAAAATCAATTACAAAAATATCATTGTTTTATATCCTGGTTTTCTTAAATTAAATATGAACTTGTGTTTTCTTATCGCAGAAACAAAGAAACGAGCGTGCCTATTGAATGGTGTTGAAGACTGAAAACGAGAGCAACAAAGATTTTACGTCTTTTCAGCAGAAGCATTGCTCAAACTCGCCACCCAGCTTGGGATTGCTGGAGCAAGCGCTGGCGGTGGCATCGGCGGCGGCGACGCGCAGGCGTTCATGGCGGTGCTGGGGACGTGCAGCCAGCAGGGCGACACGCTGCGCGGTACCTGCGCGGCGTCTAGACTGATTTCCCGCCATCCCCTTCGAACTCCGAGCTAGGGTTTATTTAGGGCTGGTTGGCCGGGTTTGAATGAGCGCCGAGCGCCATGGTCCTCCCGCCGCGCACTCCCAAGGCATGGAACGGCAGGCTTTTCAACGTCGACGCCAAGCACATATGCGCGGTGTGCTCCTCGAATGCGCCATTGGAGCTGTGCGTAAGCTTTGGTTTTGCGCTTCTCATTCGTCTTCCCGCCTTTTTCCCTCGCTCGATCAGGCCCAAGCGCCTCGACATCGTTGCTTTCAATGCAGCTCGCGCGTTCGATTGGAAGCCTCTTCCGCTGTTCCAGATCATGGCCCGTGGCGAGAGTGACTACCGGGAGTGGGATAAGCTGCTCACCTTTCTCGTCGATCACTCCCGGGTAAGAGATGTCTTTCTCTGTCTCTCTCACACGCACTATACACGCACTCGACCAGGTTGCGGTCATCAATGTCGGAGACGTCCAGCTTCTCTTGAAGCCACCGGCGGAGGAGAACGAGGCCACCAAGAAGATAATGAAGCTTGTGGACGTTGCCTACCGCGCCAGGCCCGGGCCAGCCAAGAGGCCGATCGCGCAAATGCACCCGGAGTACCTCACCACGCTCAGCCAGACGCATTCGAGTTGGCTCTTTGGTGCAGTCGCCGAGCTCATTGACAACGCCTGCGATGCGGGAGCCAAGCGGTGAGCTATCTTTAACTTTTCTCGTGCATGAACTGATAGCCACTCTTCCAGTCTTGAGATTTCGATTCAGATGGGAACGTTGAAAAGCCCCGAGGTATCAGAAGTGCCGATGCTTTGTTTCCTGGACGATGGCCTTGGGATGACTCACAAAGACATTGTGAAGATGGTGTCTTTTGGCCACAAGAAACCCGAACAAGACGATCCAGAGCAAATCGGGAGGTTTGGAGTTGGCTTCAAGGTTCTCATTTCTTTTCCTTTTCTCAATCTCTTGTTTACTGGTTTCTTTGTTTGTAAATCAGACAGGGGTGATGCGTCTCGGTAGAGGTGCCCTTGTCCTCACGCAAAGCAAGGAGACGAGGTCAATGGCACTGCTCTCAACTGGCTATAACGAAGGCAAAGATGTACCGCCTTGCTCGTGTTCTCGTGTCTCTAAGGTACTAAAAGTTTGGCAACAATGCAGGTCCTCGAGGTGCCGATTGTCACGTATACCAGACGGGCGGGCAGAATGGATATCGACACCGGTTTGCAGACGCTGGAAGACTCACAAAAGCATCGAGACGTGATATGCACATACGGACCTTTTGACGAGTATGGAATTGGTGCTGAGTTTCAAAGGCTCGCAGGCGAAACGGGGACTATCATTTACGTTTTCGATCTCGAGAAATGGGGGTCGTCTTTCTCCTTGGACTGGAACGAAAGTGATGACATCATGATAAGGTCTAGGCGCGTGCGGAGTCGACCTGGACAAACAAGCCCCGAGGTAGGATATATTCCATCTCTCGTACGCCGTCTTCCAAAACCAGTGTCCATGACAGGTCCCGCTCGACTATTCGCTTCGAGCTTATGTGGAAGTCATGTTTTTGGAGCCACGCATGATTGTTTCGATCCAGGGGAAGAAGGTCTGAGGATCCAGTTTGAGTGGTTCTTTGATGGACTTGGCTGTTTTGTTCTTTAGGTGACAACAAAATGTCTCGCCAAGACGCTAAACAGCACCTGGGTGACCAGTGCTACTCTCATGGGGAAACCAGTCCAGCTGACTCTGGGCGTAATGGAGCTAGAGCGGAAGCGCGGAAACTGTGGTATTTTCCTCTACTGGCACGGCAGACTTGTCGAGGTATGTTTTACTTGTTGGCTCTCTCACCGTCGTCGTGCATCTCTTCGAACAGTCCTACAAAAGGGTTGGAAATATGGTGCACAGTGCTGAATGGGGACGAGGAGTGATTGGTGTCGTGGAAACGACCAAACTGATGGTACAACTTTGCATATAGAGTTGAAACGATAATGTCGGCCATGCAGGAGTTTGACAGAGGCAGAGTAGGCGTGTTGAATAGCAAGCAGGGCTTCGAGGACTGTGAGATGTATGCTGCTATGGAGAAATGGCTCGGGGAGGAAGCTGACAAGTACTGGGAAACTCGCGTGGAGAAGTTAACCACGGTAAGCACTGCTAGTTTCTACGAGGACTATCACTAAGTGTCTATCCTTTTGTTGAAGGAGGAGAAGGAGGGGCTTGCCCCCGACAAAAACTGGGTCCAGTGCTCCAAATGCCTCAAGTGGAGGGTGATGGATCCGGAATGGCATGGACAGTTGCCAGACCATTGGTTCGTTGTTTTTTTTTTTTTTTTTCCACCTCGGGCGATTCCTCACTGGCTTTCCAGGTTCTGCTACATGGCACCTTACAAAGGCTCTTGCAACACCCCTGAGGAAACGGTGGAGGACGGTGTGGTGACTACCAAAACCTCTCGCGGTACACCTGTTCGGAAGAACACACGCGGCAAGGAAGGATCGGACATCACAGGTGAGACCATTTCTCATCGTGTTTTTTATTGACTTTGCTCGGTAGTAGATTCCAGCAAGCCTCTGTCCAGGCTGACATCCAAAACTACGACTAACTCTCCAAAAGTGAAGCGCACGAGCAAGAGAACCAAGAAGGAATGAATCGTCTTTGATCATACATAGCTCACCTAGCTTGCGATGCTGCTACTACCTCGGGACACAGTTTTGGCTGCCAATGCTTGATTAGGAAGGACTGGAAGGAGATAGTTACCAAACGGCGAGTCGAAGCTTTTGAAACTTCCAGTGGCTCCAACCGACTGTGCACGAACCAAGGCCGCTCTCTTCGCCTGCTGGATCCTCAGCTCGTCCCCGTGCTTTACGAGAGCCGGAGCAGCGGGTCGCATCCCCTGAATCACCACACACAATAAATACTTCCATCTTCCACCGAGAAAGTTTTACGTGCCTGTGCTTGGCGTCCAAGAGGCCGCGCGTCTTGAGGCGCTGCAGGATTGAGAGGCGGCCTGCCAATACAGGAGCCAAAGTGTGAGTCGCAAAAGGAGGCGAAGAGATTCATTACCTTCCATGCTTTGGTGCGTGCTGCTGCTCTTCATTTCCTGCGAAACAATCCAAAGTTGACAGTGGTTTGATCCGAGAGAAACTCTAGCGCAATGGCGATGAGATTACCTTTGCTGTTGCTTCTCTTGAGAGGGAGAGGGGGTGTAGCGGACGCCGCCTCGCGCTCGCGCTTGGCGCTATTCAGCCTGAGAAAGGAAGACCATGAGAAAGCCGGAGAGGGAGAGAGAGAATTACTGTACGAGGAAGCTTTGACCAGGCGGCGCCGTGATGGTGCTGGCTGATGGTGTTCCACTGCTGGATCCGCCGCTCCTCCCGCCGCCACCACCACCACCGTCGCCGCTGTCCCTGGCGGCGATGACGAAGACGACGAAGCCATCTCTCTCTCTTGCTGTATTCTACTCTACCTAGGTCACGACTCTTTAGGATAGCTTTCTTCTCTTGTTGGGCTTGGAGGGCGCCACTTGTGATGCTGCCTTGATCCTCAACTCGTCGAGCGTCTCTCCTTCGCGCGCCCACTCGAGAACCAAATGCCGCCCATACAAATGGCTGCTCCCAAGCGCCTCAAACGCGTTCTGGGCCTCTTGCTTTGTCACAAACTCCACAAACGCAAAGCCGCGATGGTTGCCATCGAACTTCTTGGGCAGCTTCACCTTCTTCACCTGGAGCGAAAGGCTCGAATCGTTTTTCCAAACTCGCTAAACTTCGTACCTGTCCGAAAGGAGAGAAGAGCAGCTTCAAGTCTTTCCGGGTTGCCTCGAATGCCACGTTCCGCACGATGAGCTTGGAAGAGCTTCCTCTTGCATCGACTTTGCTTGGTTTCTCGTCGTCGCCAGCACGACTTGGTTGCAAAACGAGAGCATGACCGTCAAGAACAGACCCCTGCACTCGGACGATCGATTATCCCCGGTGTGACAGCAAAACCTCTCTCTCACCTGCATTTCCTTGCAGACGCGCTCGGCCGTGTCAGTCGAGTCGAACTCCACGAAGCCAAAACCCATTGACAAGGATGCTCCAGTTTTGGATGGCTTTCTTTTCACCTGCAAGTTCCACAAACCATTTTAGCAACAGTCTCTCCCGGGGAGAAGGAAAACCAAACACGCACCGTTGCTGTCCGCAAGGAACCGGCTTTTACTCGGCCTTCGAAGTGCTTCCTTAGGCTCGCGTCAGTGGTCTTGAAGTTCAAATTCTTCACAAATACAGTGCTTGACTGCCAAGGCCGAATTTCGATGAGCTTCATACAAAAGAGTCTAGTAGCGTACCCTCGTTGAAGCGGCCCCTTCGTCATTTGCTACAAGCTGGTCCTTTATCGAAGTTCCCTCAAGCTTTGCGGGTACAACGCCACCATCTTTCTTTTCGGAAAGAAGATCTTGTGGTGCCCATTCCAGATACAATGGGACGTGCCTGCAAGAGTATATTTATCCGAGATTAGACCGTTTACTCAGCCAGCCGTTACGACTTTACTTGAATTTCCGGTATGCTAGAGATTCGAAGGCTTTGCGTGCCTCAGAGGACTCCAGAAACTCCACCTTGTATCAAGCGAACAGATAAACCGATCAGGAGGGAGGCACCAAGACGAAGAAAACTCACATACGATAGCAACGGTTTTCGTCGGTGGAAGCACGAGCCGTCCAAGACTTCCATAAGGGCAAAACACGCCGAAGAGGTCCGCTTCCGTTGTGCTGAAGGGAAGATTCTTGACGAGGATGACGCGAGAGCTTCTAGTTACTCCAGAGGTTTTACTAGCGCTGATCTTCTCCAACAGTTCCACATTTACGCCTTGCTGAGCTAATGACCGCTTCGTCTCCGAAAGGACGTGCGTTTCTCCCAGAGCAAGACGTACTGCAACGTCCTCGGCTTCTGGATCCAGAAATTCACGTCTGGAGATCCCATATTGCCTGGCCACGTTTTCTGCCACCTGCGTCAGAGCAAATTGTAAGAAGTGGCAAGTCAACTTTACACACCGTATCTGGCCGCATGTACAGAGGATTCCATGCTTGCGTATTGCCGCTCGACTCCTTTTTCTTGCGCTCCACCTCCCTCTCTTGTTTCAGGTTCATGGGGCGATCTCTAGAATCCCGGAGATGAGAAGTCAAGCATAGACATGAAACGGAAGAACTCACAGTTTGTGTTTGACTTGTGAAGTTTGCTGCTTCGCAGGTAGAACATGCAGAAGTCTTCCTTGAAAGATAGAATTGTCGAGCTCCGTCATCGCCCTGGATAAAGACGAGAAGTTAACCCTTCAAAGAATTCAGCACCTGAGAAAATACCTCGTTGCTTCTTCCGGTAGCATGAAGCCAACATACCCGTAGCCTTTCGAGCGGTTCGTCTCCTTGTCACAAATCACATGAACTTGGACAACTTCCCCGTACTGGCCGAACAAGGAAACCAGTTCCTCTTCACTTGTAAAAAGAAAAACACGAGAATGAGGCTCCACATTTACGTCCTTTAAAGAACTTACCTCGTGGTGTACGCAAGGTTCCGCACGAAAAGCCTCCCAGTATCTGTCTCCGCTACATCCTGAGCAGCTTCTTCATTCCCGGGACGATCGCCAGTATCAGCTTGCTGTTGCGGCTTGGCTTCTCCTTCCGTTTCCTTCTCGTCGTCACTATCGTCACTCCACTGCTGCCGGACCTTGCTCTTGAGGTAGTGCAAGTCGGAGACTGGTCCCGTATCGTCGCTCGCCTTGCTGCTTGGGTGTTGAGTTGTAAGTTTAGCGTCGTCGTTCGCCCAGACCTTCGTCTTTGTACGCGGTTGCATCACGCTGAGAAACTCGTCAAGCCCAGGATCTTGCTCTTGATCGCGGTCCACCGAGACGGTTTTCTTCGGCTTGAGCTGGGCCTTCTCCTCTGGAGCATGCGTCTTCTCGTACGCAGAGCTTCCTTTAGAGTGACGGCTCCATGGCCGCACAGCTGCGTCTCCAACGGAGCGTGCCACCTGACAATATCACGAGAATGTGAGTAGCGTCGAGGTTGCGAGAAAGAAAAATCTAGATGCTCCGAGACTGCGAGATTGCGAGAACAAAAATTCTATGATGATCTACCTCGCAAACCAGGCGGGAGGTGTCGAGGAATGACCTGTTGAAGTAGGCGACAGCCGATTCGGCTTCCTCCTGGCTGTAGAATCCCACGAATCCAAACCTCCGAGACTTGCCCTCTCTGCGCGAGTGGAGCAAGGAATCAATGTCGCAATCTCGTCTCCATCCATGGATGAAAAGCAAGCTCTCTCTCACCTGGTTCGCATCACCTTGGCATCGGTCACCTGTCCCTTGGCGCCGAAATGCTCCTTGAGCTTGTCATCGGTGACATAGGCGGGCAGATTCTTGACGCACACGCGCGACGACGACCCCATAGCCCAAGCGCGCTCAAAGCCGGCTCAAAGCCCGCTCAAAGCCCTAACCCTAGGCGATGGAGAGTAACAGCAAAATGGCGCTGGCGGGGATGGAGGAGAGCTTGCACAGCGCGCTCGCCACACTTCATCAGCTCCACTGCTCCGTCTCCTCTTTCACGCTTCCATCGCAGCTGCTCGTCCTGGAGCGCCTGTAAGCAAGAATTCCTCCCTGGAGCTCAAAAACAATCTTTCCCCCTTCTTGTGAGCGTTAGAGCTGGAATCTCTCTCAAAATCAATCCTTCTCCATCTCCTTCTCAGCGTTAGAGCTAGAGCTGGAATCTCCCTCAAAATCAATCCTTCTCCCTCTCCTCAGCGTTGGAGCTGGAGTCTCTCTCACACGTTTGATTTAATGTTTTACATGGAACCAGGAATGAGCTTGTCAAGGATCTCAACTTGATGCAATCCTCCTCCAACCAGTGCAACCTTGAGATCCCCGTGGAGGTGATAAGGTAATCGATCCATCCCAGCGATCCGATTGAGCAACCTGTTTTGCCAGATTCATTGACGAAGGCAAGAATCCCGACGAATTCACCAAGGATCTTCTTAACCATTGCATTCAGCGAAACCAGGCAACCAAAGGCAAAGTCGACGCCTTCAAGGCGAGTTCTTCCTGGGACCTCTCTTTGCTCTTGTCTCAAATCTCTTTGCAGGCACTTCGAAAGCACATACTGGAGGAGGTGGAGGAGGCCTTCCCCGAGGAGACTGAAACATACCGAATGTTACGTACAGCATCGGCTCTGGTCAGTCAGTCTCAAACTTAGCAAAAAAAAAAAAAACAATTCTTTTAGTTCTACTTACACGCACGAGTGCGCAGGAATCTCGAAGAAGTGCTGCGCAGCCAATCCCCGGACTGTCCAACGGAGATGCAAGAGTCAAGCCCGAGCACACTGGCTGAAAGGCGGAGCTTATCATACACAATAACACAAATTTACACAAAACAAGTAAGTAGGCACAGGCAGGAATCCATCGATCATCGATCAAACAGGCGCTGTGATCCCCGCCGACGTCACCGCAGATCGAGCGTCTTCAAATTTGTCCCGCTCGTGCTCTTCGTCGAGATAACTCGGTGTGTAGGCAGTGACGATGCTCGAGACGGTGGGGATGTGCTCCTTGGTGAGACCGGTCACCTCCAGCGGTGGATTCTTGAAGGTGGGATAGTAGATCTTGTTGGTGATGAGGGCGAAGAGCAGTGTGGCGATGGGCAGCGGCACCAAGATGGGACTGAACACAAACTTCTTGATGGAGAAGTAGCCGAGCATTGCAAGCTGCGAGACGAGAAGAGCTGCAATAATTCTAGTGTGGATGTGAGGCCACATTCGACCGTAGCTCTCATAAGCCGGCACCACCACCTTCAACGCCTGGAGAAAGAGATCTTAGCACAAAAGTTGGAAGAAACAGCAAAGGGAAGAGAGCTCCAACCTCGTGCCGAGCGATGATCCACGCAAAGGCAAAGTAGACAAGCGCAAAAGGAAGAACCATGGGTGCGATCACAGCATAGCAGAGTGCAATGGTGAGTATGAGCATGTCTCCGGGAACTCTGGTGGCATAGCTAAAATCTTTGGGTGCCCATGCAGCTCTGATATCCTCTTTCGTCTTGCAGAGATACTTCTTCTTGATGCGAAAGATGATCAGCGGCACCAGCCTCGAGAGCTGCAAGCCATAGCCAACGAAGAACCTGTGCAAGAATGAAGAAAACTAGCTAAGTTTCCAGGAAGAACTCTTGCGCTACTGACACTTACCTGAGGGCGATGAAGGTGATGAAGAAGGATGCCGCAGGTGGAATGGCCGCGCCCAGCAGTGACACGGTCGAGTTGGGCTCCTTCTGGATCTTCTTGACCGTGTCAAACAGCGAGCTGGTGATGGTGATGCCCAAGAACACGTTGAAGACGTTGAAGTAGAAGTACTTCCCGGCGGCGGCGCGCTCGACATGGCTCTGCGACACAATCCCCTCCATCCGCGACAGGAAGAGCAGCAGCGTCGGCAAGAGGGCCAAGAACACGATGAGCGCCAGCTGCGGCAAGTAGGCCTGGAGCACGGTGCTCAACACCTTGATCTTCTCGATGTTCTTCACAAACGGCACTAGCTTCTCGAGCTTGTCCAGCGTCGAGAAGGCGGACACGAAACCAATGGGTATCATGAAGAAGAGGATGGTGAGCGCCACCAGCGTGTAGACGATCGCTTGCCGGATGTAACGCTGGTACCAGGGGATCTTTACATTCCCCCAGATCATCTGGCGTGGCTCCGGCGCCGGGCTCGTCACCCATCGCCCCGCCGACGAGGCCGAGTAGACGCACTGCCCGCAAGCCGCCGCCGCCGCCGGATTGTTGAAAACCAGGATCGCCGCTCTCCCCGGCGGCGCCGCCGCCGCCGCGGTTTTACTGCTCTTGTGCCGCTCGCTCGCCTCCCGGAGCTTCTCCTTGTAGAAATCCACGGAGTCGACGCTGGGACCGAGCAATCCGAGCGTCCCAGTCTTGTGATGCGGGCGATTGCTGCTCGTCACCCCGGCCTGCGCGCGATCCAGCTTCGCCTTGGTGGATTCCATCGCCTTCCACGTCTTGGACGCGCCGCCGAGATCGCCCACCGGGATGCATCGCTCGTAGGAGTCGGGGTGGATGCGGCGGAAGAAGGCGTCGATCTGGGCGGTGTCGCGGTGGGAGCGGGGAATGTCGCGCACCAGCGCCGCGAATTGCTCGGGCCTGGCGCCCGAGGATAGCACGGACTTGCGGAGCTTGGAGATTCGGCGGTACTTTGTCCACAGCACGATGTAGACCGCCGCCGAGAGCCAGTAAGCGCCGATGGCGAAGAGCCAGATCTTGGAGTTCCGCTCCTGCGCCGCCAATGCATCAGCCAAGACGATTGAGACGAGACGATTGATTTCCACTCACCGGTATGTTTCCCATGGCCAGCTTGTCCAGGCCAGAGAATGTAGCATCGGTGGAGTTCGTGGCGGTGGTGGAGCCGCCGGTGCTTGGCCTCGCTTTTCTCGCGTAGTCGTCACTCAGTGCTGCCACCGTGACGAGCACGGGGAGGCAAAACAGCGCCGCTATGCTCAGGATCTTGAGCGCTGCACAGCCATGGATCGATGGATTTGCCTCGGAAGGAAATTCTTGCGCAAACGCTCTTACCGGCATCCAGGAGGTGAATGTAGATGGCAGCGTCCAGGCCCGCGAAGCTCACAATCTCCGACTCGGTGACTCGCCAGGCCTCGCTCAGCCATTGGAAGGGCGTGCGCAGGCGCGCAACCTCGGGATTTCCCTTGCCTTCCTCCTCGCGGATGAGCACGGCGGGGTAGTAGACTGGGTAATTCTTGGGCCGCCGCGCGAGCAAGACGTAGAGGAGCGACAGAAAGAGGAAGATTAGCAGCGAGGTGACCAGCGATGTGATGAACGCCGTGGTGTCCATCGATCTTGGAGGAGAGAGAGAGGGAGAGAGCTTCCTCCTCCCGCGAGCGGGTACTTTACCTTGCTATAAAGAAAGCCCTCTTCCTTCCCTCCTGGATTTCTTCCAAGTGCCAAACTTATAGAGTAACCAGCTCATCACACTCGGCAAAAAGCTGCGGACTCGTTGCGACTCGTTGTCGGTGTATCCAACAAGAATATTCAAAACTTATCCCGTTTGTTTGGAATCAACCATAACATTAATGGCAAATGTAAAAATGTTTTTTCCCGTTGCGCAAAACTGTACAGGCTAAAAGTAAAAACTGAAAGAAAATTTTTTGCGCTCGCTCTTGATCTTGATTTGATGCTTAAGTTCGTTCTATAAGTAGGCTAGTCTCCTTTGCTCTTCTCACAACCCACGCCAGAACTTCCCCTGGCCTTGCTTCCTTTCCTGTACTCGCCTGGAACGAACGAGAGGTTGTCAAGATTTACTAAATGGAAATCCAGCTCTCAAACCTCTGGTTTTGCTTTGCTCTCTCGCGGAACTCGGTCGCGATGTCACGTCCCTTGTATGATTCGAGAACAGTACGCACATCAGGGGGGCGTTGTCTCGCCACAACTATACGATACGATCCGTGATTAGAATGCGAAAGATATGACAAAGGAATGAATGAGGCTTACATTCGAGAAAGGGAAGGAGGTCGAGAAGAGCAGTGTCGTCGCTTTCCAGTTTCCAGGGCTTGATAGGAACTGCGTTCTCGGGTTGGAGACAAGTGTCCAAAGCATGGCCGCTGATGTACATGATTTTCTTCGGATCCCTGTTTAGTTTGGACAAGTCCTGGCAGGAAAAACACCAACCTTTAAGTCCACTACCATACCAAAGTTATACTCACTCGAAAGTGCTTCCCATCGAGATAGTTCGTGGCATCCCGTGCTAGCCGATAGCGGATGCAACCCTTCTGATCAAGCCTCTCCAAAATGGGATCCACGTACTGAGAAAACAAAGAGCCGTGAGCAAAGCAAAGCCACCGGGTGAACAACTTACAAAGCTTAGCTGATCAGAATACACAACTATCTCATAGTAGTGTGCTAGCTTTTCGAGAAAAGCTTCAACTCCAGGGCGTTTGAAAGTACCCCAGCCCCTCTCTCTCTGTAACATCACATTTAAAACGAGGACGGGGTTGCTGAAAAGCCACTACCTTCCACTCCGAAAACACCAGCGTCTCATTTAGATCAAGGACAATTGTGTAGACATGCTGCTCCTGAGGAATCAAATCGGGTAGCAACTTATCAGACGACGGAGCCGCAAAACCCTGCAAAAGACGAAAACCAAGTTAAATCGCCAGAACCGAGCCGTGGTAACAGATAACATGCCTTAACTTGCTCTTCCACGGACCTCCTCAAATCCAAATACGCGTCAGTTGCTGCCAAGGCGACTAAGAAAACGATATACTACGTGATCAGCACACCTATTCTTACAAAAATGAAAGAATACCCTCGCAAGACGTGCAGTAAACAAGATCTTGTATTCTCTGCCAAGTTAGACACAGGAGTTACTATCACAGATTGATAGGGAGGAAATAAATCTCTTCTTACCTCAAGAATTGGCTTGTCTTGAGTAATCAAAGGTTTTTGTTGACGCAAAGGCTTCACTACCCTTTCAATATCCTCGTACGAGTAAGCTGGAAAGGAACGAACTGAGAAAGCAAAAGACATACATTTCTTCTCTCTTACCATAGGTCACGTAAGAAACCCCGGCAATAGCAGCTGTAGCTGTAAGACCAAAGAGCGCTTTGATCCCTCTCCAGGACGCTTTAGAACCCACCTCCGCGACCATCTCTTCCACCTCGGAAAAAGATCCATCCTGCTTGCCTGAGCTTGCTGTCGCTTTGGCGACTTCCTGGGCGATTTCCTCGGGCGGCGCGCTGCTGCCACTGGCGGCCTTGGCGCCGATTGCCTCTTCTGTCGAAAATGTGGTAGAAGAATGCGATCTAGCCGCGCAGAGCCTCGATCGCGCCTGGAACTCCCTCGCAGATGCAAGCCTTTGGAGCCTGATCATCCACATAGCCGCCCAAGCCCTAACCATCCAAAACCTGCCCAAGAACCCTAAACCCTAGAGTGCATTAAAGGAAAGAGAGGACCTTTGAATTTATCCGTGTTTCTTTCACAGTTGTTCTACCCAGCCAAACTTATCTTCGCTTCTACCCATCTGGATGTCGGTCAGGGACGTGCTTAGCGCTCTTGACACTTTTCCCACGCCGCCATCACTGTAAGTTACCCTGAATTGCAAAACCTCGAATTTTAGTCACTGCTCTAGATTAGAAAATCTCACTCGCACCTTCTATCACCGTATGTGATCGATCCAACCGGATTGACAACCACGGCAGTCCCCGTGCAAAACACCTCGTCTGCGTCAAGCAATTCCTCCACTGTCACGGCCGTCTCCTTCACCTGAGATCGAGTGACAGTCTCTCGAGTTATATATATATAAAGCTGAGAGAAGTTTTCTACCTTATAGCCCATGTCTCGAGCAAGTTCTATTATGCTCTTCCTGGTAATCCCAGGGAGTATCGTGCCCAGCGTTTCAGGAGTGGAGATCGTGTTACCCTGTGCATACGAGAGTATATTTCTTACCCAAGCAAAGATGTGAATCAACCTTACCTTCACGGTAAAAATGTTGCAAGACGAAACCTCCTCGACATACTTGTTCTCGGCAGCATCTAGATACAAAACATCCGAGAAGCCTTGGTCCTTGGCATCGAGTTGTGTCTTTAAAACCTTCACGACACAAAAGTCAGCTTAGAGCAACAAAAACGCAGAAGTGGCGGATCGGGCCCAGTGCGCCAGTCACGAAAACACTAACTTACAGGAGCGTAGTTTCCAATCGTCTTGACGCCACCAGTTCCTCCAGGTGCTGCGCGGTGGTAAAACGTTTCCACTTTGAGTGAGATAGGAGCTAAGCCACTCTGCGAGGAAGAAAAAACAAACACGCAGTAGTCAATATAAGAGCAGCGCACTCAAAGCAGTGTAACCTTGAAATAATTTCCCACGGGTGACACATAGATGATGAAGCTATACTCCGGAGCTGGTGCAAGGCCTAGAATAGCTCCGGATCCAATGAGCAAAGGTCGGATGTATAGAGAACCTTTGCCATGAGGAGGTACCTGTCACGGAACCTGTGAAAACAAAAAAAAAAACAACCGCTAAAAGCCGCTAGAGCGAGGCCACATACCCAACGAACGTTTGCTTTCACTGTGCTCTTCACAGCGGCAGTGAAATCCCCTACCGATGGTGCCGGCATGCACATTCGTTTTGCTCCGGAGATCATACGAAGTGCATTTTCTTTTGGTCGAAACAAAACCGCGGAGCCATCTTGTGTCCGGTAAGCTTTCATGCCTTCAAACAAGCCCTGGCAAGAACAACAAAGGATCAAACAGGGATTGTACAAGAGAAACAAAGAAAAAAGTTTGTTTACTTGTCCATAGTTGAGCACTCCAGCGGCAGGACTGAGCTCCAAGTTTCCAAATGGAAGAAGTTCTCCCGACCTCCATTCCCCGCTTCGATCGGTCTTCATTACGTACATGAAGTCCGTAGAACGAATTCCAAAGCCAATGTTCTCCCAATCGATGTCTGATCCAAGAGCAGCAGTATCCCTGGCATTTTTGCTTAGAGCGCCACAGCTAGACGCGAATCGATTCGAGAGCTTACTTGGTGGTGCTCACAGTCACCCCCGCTTGGATCTTGAGTGACTTGTTTTGCTGGAAGGACAGCGAACCAGTCGGATCGAAGCAAAAGGGAAATCGAAATCTCACTCACCCGGAGTCTGGAGATTTCGATGCGCGGCATGGATCGGCATAGATCGAGACCACGGATTCTCGAGTGCCTGTCATTCGAGAGCGCCTGGAGCTGGAGCTGCGATCCATTGAGCGCGCAAGCCATAATGCGGTAATGAAGAACCCTAACAAGGGCTCAGTGAAATATTTCTCGCGGTTCGCTGCTTGATCCATTGCTCCGCTGCTCCACACTTCCAGTGGATCAAGAAATTTCGAGATTTCTGCCAATGCCGGGTCATCCCATCCCAGATTTTGAAGCACGAGGAAGGATTCTTTCAAAGATTCTCGCGGATATACCACCATCGGCCAGTCTAGGGTTTTGGCGTACAATGGACGAGTGACGGCGATGGCGGCAGGTCGAGCGTGGTCGTGGTATCGCAGCCAGCTCGCGGCGCGCCCGGTACGCACGCAAGCAATCGTGTCAGGGATCCTGTGGGGAAGCGGCGACGTGATCGCGCAGAAGATTAATGCGTCGATGCAAGACGACGACGAGGAGAGGCCGATCGATCTGAAAAGAACAGCGGCGTGCTGCATTTTTGGATTGGGATTCGTCGGGCCGGCCGGTCATTACTGGTAGGCAGCCGATCGATCGCAAATTTCTCTTTTCCCTCTTTTCCCCTTTGTGCCGGAGGAGCTCTTTTGACGAATTGCGCTGCTGCCAGGTACCAGGGGCTGGACAGATTCGTGAAGAAGAAACTTTTGCTGACGCCAAATTCTCCGCGATTCATTGTGGCAAAGCTCGTCCCGGACGCTTTGCTGGAGCCTGTGCACTTGGGACTCTTCTTCTCATTGATGGGATTCACGGCTGGAAAGCCGAGCTCTCAGGTGTTTGCCGACGTCAAGCGAGACATAGTCCCGGCCCTCGTATCGGGTGGAATGGTGTGGCCTCTGCTCCAGGCCGTCAACTTTCGCTTCGTCCCGGTAGAGCATCAGCTCCTCTATCTCAACTCGCTCTGCCTGCTCGAAAGCGCCTTCCTCTCGTGGGTCAACAAGCAGGAAGACGCGGCCTGGAAGAAGAAACTCATGGCGTTCATCACTCCCTCGTCACCGCCATCGCCATCGCCAGCGTCGTCACAGCAGGAGCAAGGACAGGCGCCATCGCCATCGCCAGTGAGCTCGTAGAAGCTCGTAGAAGATCGATCGATTCATCGATCGCGGTCGGTAACTAGGAGCGACAAACGAATCCAACAAGGAGTGGGGTCGATCGATCGATCCAGCAGAATGGAAAAACAAAACGAATCCAAGAGTGGGACACTTGGAAAACCTTCCCGGCGAGCGATTGGTGGCGGACGTACGTGGAAGATGACAAGATTCCAAAAGAAAAGAGGTGTTATGTGCTAAAACTATAGTTCTTGTTCTTCCAGCAAACAGTGAAGATCCGCGACTCACCATATTCTTATTCGATTAAATCTTAGTGAGAAAGGGTGGATGATTTCCTCGATACCATAGAAAATTTGCTACTATACTTTTTCTTGCGAGGTAGTGCGTGGTTCAATTCCAGATACCAACATTATTCCTCCTTTTTTTTTTTTTCTTTTGATGGCCACGGACAGAAAGAGAAAGAGGCTTTAGCTATAGAGCGTTCTTCCTCTTCTTCCTATTAGCTCTTAGGTCTTTTTTTCTGGGGAGGATAGATAGATAGATAGCTTTCTTCCCGGGCGTTCTTGCGACCAAGACAAGCAGCGGCAGCGGCAGAGGAAGGGTTTTTGGGAAGAATGAGGTTTTGGCCATCGCGGCGCGCCTGATGCTCTTGGCGTAAATCTCTCTCTCTCGCTCCTCGCTGCCGCTGCTGCTCTCGCTGGTGTGTGTGTGATGGTGCTGCTGGCACTGATATTTCTCCTCTCCCTGGCATCGTCTTCCTCCGGGGCATCGATTTCGAGTCCCTTGCAATCATGGATGCTCGCGTCGGTGCCGTCGGGTCGCCATTCCTCCATTCCCAGGTAAAATATTTCGATTCTCGGGCCCTCTCTCTTCTTGGATGATGCTATGCTGTGGGGCGATAGATTGATTGAGCGCTTTCGTTTTGACAGGTCGCTGCCAGCGTCGTCGCAATTTCTGCCGCTCCTGGCTTCTTGGTTCGCGATACTTGTCTTGTTGTGCATTTCTGGCTCGGTGGGGGGCGATCAAGCGCAAGAGACTGGGAGGAATCTAGTCGTGGACAGCAACAAGCACGAATCGGGCACTGGTAAGCCTGCTGTGCCACTGGCGGACGAGCAGACAAGGGTACCCTGCGAGATCGTCGTTTCCCAACCGGGTTTTGTTGGCTTCCCTGCGCCGCTGCAGTCATCGGCAGCAGCCCTCAGGGATCATCGCCATCGCTATCAGGATGATCTTGATGCCACTGCTGCTGCTGCTCCGGGACCAGCATCGACATCGTCCTCTCCCAAAGTTGGGATTTTTCCTCCGTTCTTGGAGTGGGGGGATAGGCCGCTCTTCTCGCCGTCGGCATTGACGGTCACCGTATCCAATCGTTGCAACAGCACGCTGCTCAAGATCTTTACTCCTTTCAGCTCCAGCATCCAGTTCTATGCCGCCGCTTTCGCTCCAACCCCATTGGATCTCCGGCCCGGGCAAGAGGTTTCGCTAGACATCATCTTCTGGCCCAGGTCGCTAGGACAGGCTCAAGCGGTGGTTTTGCTACAGACCAGCCTCGGTGGTTTCTTCGTCCAAGTGCAAGGGAATGGTATCGCTTCTCCCTTAGGCCTTGCTCCCTTGGGAAGAAGGACCGTGACCCGCGGACAAACTCTTCGGTTCTCCATCTCACTTCACAACAAGGCTGGTGATCAAGGTGGTCGAGTTATCAGAGTCAAGGAAGCTCGCGGCTGGCCGGCGGATTCGAACAACAGGACGTTGATCCTGACGAATCCTCATAACAACGATGTTGGTGTCACTCGGTGTTGTTCCTCGGACAGTTCCTCGTGCAGCTGCGTGGGTCATCACCGAGAGCAGGGAAGCTATCTCACCTTGAAACCGGTGGCTCCGTGGGAGATAAGTCCCGGTTCCGTGTCGGACGTTCTCGAGGTTCACTTCAAAGCTGCCGAATCAACAGGGACCTGGAGCGGATTCATCTACCTCGGACTGTCCCTCTTTTCTACATTGGCAGCGAAAGAAGTGGACGAGGAAAAGCTTTTGATTCCATTTAACGTGAGAGTTGGAAGTCAAGGACAGGTTTTGGAGCCGGTCCCAGAGGTGATCAATTTTGGTTTTCTTAGCAGCAGGAGAGAGGTGAAGAAGCAGGCTGTAACGTTACTCAACACAGGGCCCGACAGTTTAGTGATCAGGCTCGTAAGTCGGGGTGATGCTGTGGATAGTCCGAGTAGAAAAAATCTGATAGCAGTTCGGTACAGGAAAGGCCTTGTTGTTCATCCCGGAACGCAAGCACAGGTAGCGGTCGCGTGGTACCAGGGCATCGAGGAAACCTTGTCTTTGGTGACCGATGATGCGGACTCTCCAGGCTTGGAGACGCTGATCATTCACACCAACGGCAGCAGCCCTCAAAGTAAGATCATCCGAGTTCCATTTCATGCTGTGGTCTTGCATGGATCAGCGAGCATGGGAGACGACGGCGAAGTTGATGAGCGAGTCCTTTTCGCTGAAGCTGGAGTTGATATAAAGTTGTCGCAGTTACAGGTAAAGTTGTCTTGAAAATTACTGCTTTACCTTTTAGTTTTTTCGTCTCACTTTTTGCCGATTTTGCAGAAGCTGGAACGTAGAACACTTGGGCAAAACGATATTGAGAGTGGTACTTTCCCCTCCGGTGGTGTTGAGGTGAATGACCATCAACAGCTGGTTGCGCAATCCCTTTTCGTGCAGTCTGGACTGATTCTTCCTACCGTCCAAGTTGGAGGGTCCGAGGCAGTCTGGCTACATTTCAAAAATCCCAGTGATGGACCCGTTTCCGTGAAGCTGTTGCCGAGCCACGAGTGGGAAGCTTCTGGTTGTCAATGTTCCATCGGGTTGTCCGGCGATTGCAAAGCTCGGGACGACAAAAGTCCGTTCGTTTTACAGGAAGGTGGACTTTCTGATACGGTTCTCAGAGCTTATCAGGAAGCTGATCTGGGGCCTCTCTTGTTCCGTCCGACTCAGAGATGCACTTGGACAGGTCTTCTAGCTGTGAAGAACAACCTCACAGCAATCGACTGGATACCGGTACGCGGTACCGGAAGCTCAGCCGAATTGAAGTTCTTGGAGGACAACGTACCGGTCGAGACTCTTCGGCTGGTTGGCACGACATTGCGAATTGTCTCAACTGTGACATCAGGGATTGACGAGAATCTATCGAGCCTATCCGAGAAGATCAACTCGGAATCTTGCAAGCAGCCTGTGAACGGAAGCTTCGTAGCCAGGAACACAGGTGACATTCCTCTCAGAGTGCACTCGGTGTCACTTATGAGTGGTGGATGCAGCTCGCAAGGATTTGAGCTTGGTTCTTGCGGTGGATTCCTCCTAGCGGCTGGAGAAACCACTCTGATCGAGCTCTCGTACAGGTCAAACGACTTCGTCTCGCCGCAAGTACGACACAACAATCTCCAGCTCATTACTTCGATCGGGACTGTCAACGTCCCTGTGATGGTGGTCCTGCCTGATCACATGCTTCGTCTCTGTGCCAACATCCCTGCCTACTTCAAGTACCGAAAGCTCTTTGTCTACGTCGGATTCGTCGGCCTGCTTTGCACGGTACTGGTTCTCCCAGCCAAAGTTGGCAGCAAGAAACTCAGTAGCTCCGACTGCGACAGTGGTTCCGCAATGGCAGGCAGCCTGCCGCTGTTCAGGGACTTCTCACCGAGCAGCATCATCGCTGAAGAGACGACAGGCCCATCAAATTTGTCGAAGATACGTGTCAAGGTGACTGAAGAGGTGGCTGAAGATGGTCGACACCAGACGAGCGACGACGGGATTTCTAAAGGCGAGCTTGGCGCTGGCTCCACGTCTTCTGATTTTCTCCAAGCTACGAAGCAGCAGCACAGCATAGCGATGTCTCCAACCTCGTCTCCGAGGAAGACGCAGCTGGAACGAGGTGGCAAACGCAAGAGGAAGAAGGGCCCGGTGTCGCTGGTGAAACACGAGGCTTCTAGAAGCGGAGCTTCTCCACCGAGTTCCTCACCAGCTTCTCCACTGAGCTCGCAGAGGCCCGCCCTCTTCTCCTCCGACGATCACCACCACCACTCCGCCGCCGACACAAAACTTTCGAGGCTGGATATCGAAGTTGGCCGAAGAATGACCTCGGCGCCGTCACTGTCATCTTCCTCATCCAACACTTCAGCAGCACACTGGGTTCCGAAGGACGAGATACGCAAGAAAGTGGTGGCCAGCGAGCTCAAGCCAAGCAAGGAGAAGCAGCGCCACCATCACGCGTCCAAAGCTTCGGGGAATGGAGAATGGGTGACGGTCGCTCGAAAGTCAGTTACTGATGGTGGTGGTGATGGTGGTGGAAACCCAAAAGCAGGAACATCAACACACGACGATGGAGTTCCAGCCAATAAGAAGAAAACGCTGATGCAGTCCGCTAGCTTTCCAAACAGTTCACGGCTCCAGTCGCAGATAAGTCCGTCTGTCCGAGCTCCAGGGAGCAAGATTCCCAAGAACAGCAGCAGCGATACTACGAGTGCGAGCGAGCTCAACGATTCCAGCAGCAGCAGTTGCAACACGAGCAGCAGGTTCTCGAGCGATGACGTAATCGACCAGGCCTCCTGCTCGTCACCGACAGTCGATCTCGTCTACGACATCTGGGGGGATCACCTGGGAGAGATGACACGCCAGTCCAACTTTGGTGGCGAGGAAACCCAGAGCCTGTTCTCGGTGCCGGCCTTCACGCTCCCCAGCAAGCAAGATCACCACCTCTCGGCAGTGGAGAGCTCACCGGAGTTCTCCATGTTTTCTGGGAACGTCGTCGCAGCTTTCAATCGGGTGGTGATGCCGGACGACGAGCAGCAGCAGCAGCAGCAGCAGCAGGACTATTCTTCCAGCTATTTTCTTCTCTCGCCATTCGATTTGTCATACAGCAAGCGTATGCAATTCTCCACCGCGGATGAAATGAAGCTCTAAAGTTCATATGTTCTTCGTTTGTCTCCTCTAGAACAAAACTCCAACTTTGTTTACCAAAGCGTTTGATAATCTTATTCCCAAGTGTGAAAGATTTACCAAAATGTGTCGGCCTCGCTCGCTCTATGGATGGAGCTCATGGACCGCGAAGAAAAAAGAACGAAAGAAACAAGCCCCACTACGAATAAATACAGAACAAGAGATGTGGAGAATCCATCCATCTTTCCTGGATCGATCCAAAGTGAGGCTACAACCATGGAGCAGAATTGAGATGGTTCACCTTTTTGGAATCTATCTTCCACAGTGAATCAAGCTTCCTACACCCAGAAACAGTCCAAACACCGCGGCGCTTCCTAGCGTAGTCTGTCCAACATAGCGTACTTTAAACATCCCTGGAACCTGGGAAAGAGGGAAAGACAATCGTCAATAGATCGATCGATCGAAAGAAAAGTTTCGAGCAAGCATCCAAAATCTCGTTTTGAGCAAGCATCCAAAATCTTGTTTTGAGCAAGCATCCAATCCCAATTTGTGCTTACCTTGAACCGAAACGCCTCATATGTTCCATACACAGCACCTGGAAACGAATCGATCAAAGGAGGAATCAATTGATTGCGCGAATGCCGCTAGGAAGAAATACCTAGAGCTCCGCCCACTGCGCCTCCAACAGCGACGCCAGTGGTGACATGAACCAGGCAGTCCCGCGCCATGCCTCCGGCTCCGGCCTCGCTAAAACCCTAGTGTTGGGTAGAACCCTAAAATCTAGTTTCCGCTAGGGTTTTTGGGCGGAGAGGAAATGGTGCGAATCCACGAAGACGATGGCGGCAAGGAGAGCAAGGGCGCGATCGCGGCTGCCTACGAGAGCGCCTCGGGCTTCGTCCGCGGCGTCAAGCGCCGGATTGAGTTTGAGCTCTACGATGACGAGCGCAGCGCCTTCAACATGGTAAAATCACTCTTGCATCCATCCATTTATTGATTGATGTATATACCGCAGAGGCTGGCTAGAGCGCTGGGACTGTTTGGAGGAGCAATCTTCTTCATGCGCAATTTTGGAGATGTTATCGCGATCTAGCTGAGAAAAAAAAAAACTCTGGTCTGTTTTAAATCCTTAGCTCAATACCACATAACATCGAAAGCTTCTTCATCATCTTGAATCCACTCGTCTCGGTCTCTAGAATCCAAAGCTGCTCGCATAGGCTTGGGGTGCGTAAGCCATTGGTTTCACGCTTGGATGAGGCTACACCAAAGAAAACGATCGATCAAAACGAAAGAAGAGAGAGCGAAGGAAACCACTTTTCACATACCACGTCTTTGAATGTCGTGAACTCGGGCTTCATATGTGGTGCCACGAACCGCACAAACGCTCCTTTGTTGCCAATCTGATCGCAGTAGTTTGGAGCAGAGAAGACGGTGATGAGTTTTCCTTTGTGTTCTTGCTCGTAGCCTTCTGGTTTCACCTCGTGTGATCTTACAACAAGATCTAAAACGACACCAGTTAGAACTGGAAGGTAAAAAGGAAGGAAAACGAGCAATACCGAGATTGTTTTGCTCCAAAAACTTCTCGGTCACATCCGAGCCGAAGGATAATCCAACCCCGCGTTTGCTTGGTTGTCTTCCAAGGCCAGGATGAGGGTCACTCCAGAGCATCTCGCACATCAAGCCTGCATGGAGGGAGTTGAACGTGAAACACAAAACTGAGCGGATAAACTAGTACCTTCGTCAGGCGGCTGCTTGAATCGGTCGATGGCTCGAATGTCGGAGAGTTTTACGTTGTCAGTGCTAAACAAACCGCCGTGGACAACGAATACTTTGCTGTTCAAGACGTGTGCAAGCGGAAGAGCACAGAATATCTCGGAAAAGTACTCTGGCATAACGTCGGAGAAGTATTTGGCCTTGACTTCACCATCAAAACCGTAGATCTTGTTCATACTTTGACTCTCGTGATTTCCCCTCGCCAGATAAATGCCTGCAACCAAAAAGTCTCTAGCTCGTCGGAAATCCGGAAAGAACAAAAGGCACACAAACCTTGAGGATATAGGCACTTAAAAGCGAACAAAGTCAGAATCACCTCCACTGAGAAAGAACCGCGATCCACAAAATCGCCGTTAAAAAGGTAAGGATTCTCATTTGAAGGTAGGCCGTTCATCTCAAAGATGTTAAGCAGGTCGTAATACTGGAAGTGTCAAAAGTCAGCCGACGATAGTATAACGAAAGAAAGCGGAGTTCTACCTGGCCGTGAATGTCACCACACACAGTTATATGGCATTTGTCTGGGATTGTTACTTCCACAAGAGACGGAAGACTAGAGAGTAAATCCAAAGCTTCGCGCATTATCTGATAAGCGTATCTGAAACGTAATAATCAACACATTGCCAGCAACAATAGTAATCCACACCTTTTGTGCAACCGTTTCTCGTCCTTGAAATCCTGCATCATCTGCTTCACAAACGCCAAATCTAAATGCTGGCCCTGTATCCTTGCTCCTGTGTAAGAGTCCTCTACTACTGCAAAACAAAAACCAAACAAACATTAGCAAAGAGCTCTCCAAAACAAAACGCACATAACATACCGAAAGCACTGTAATCTATTGTTCCAGCAACCGAGCGTCTCTCATCGCTGGCAACCGCTTCCTCGAATCTTAGTTTCTTGATTGCATTCTCACACTCCCGGATCTTCCTCATTGCATCTGGATCTTTTGGAACAATTTTGCATACCTTGAAGAAAAACAAACGAAAAAAGCTTCTCGTGACACTTTGTGCAAAAAGAAAATCTCTACAGTACCTGCCGTAAGTCCTTGAGCCCCTCTTTGAATTTTCCCAAAGCCAAATATGCCGCACCTCGTCGATAGTATCCCTGCAAGAAGAAAAAGAGAGTTCTCGGAAAGTAAGCACCAAAAGCTAGCTCGATTTCCTAGAGAAATACCTTCACGTACTTGCGATCCAACTCAATCGCCTTGGTGGCGTCCATAATGGCGGTTCCATACTCTTCCAGCTTCACATTCGTGAAGGCCCGGTTTGCCCAGTACACGGGATTGCTACCATCGAGCTCAATCGCCCGTGTGTACAACTCCCTGGCGTGGGAGAACTTACAAGCTGGAAAATCCCAAGGAATCAGCTGAGAGAATCCCCAGGAATGAGTGCCTACCTTGAAATGCCGCGTTGGCTTGTTCCTTGAGCTGCTCCGCTTCCGCGCGAATTGATGCGTCGGTCATGGCGGCCGAGCGGCGCTGACAATCGTGCTAGGGCTTCATCGATCCATCCTCTCTCTCTTGCTCTCGACCTAAACCGAAAGACCAGCGTGGCAAATATCGCCTGAGATCAGGAATTAGGTCATTTCCTCCGCGTATTTATTATGTCTGTGCCAAGAACACTGGCCCGCGAGGATCCAGCGCTCCAGCTAGGGTTTACTTGATCCATCGCCCCATCGCCCCATCGATTCATCGATCCATTGCCATGAACGATCTTCTCGGGGTGAGTGGTGGCCTGCATTCTCTATAGAAGCTTAGGCTGAATGGAGTGAAAAATATATATGTCTTTGTTTACAGGATATTCAGATCGTCGAGGATGAAGAACCAGAGAAAGAGAAGAAATCCAAGAAGAAAGGCAAGAAAGCGGAGAAGAAAAATGCGGATGAGGTAGCTCCAGCAGATGATATGGGAATGACCGAATTCTTTCAGCAGGTTTTTCTTCTACTGCACTCCATAGAGCTTCTCTTTTGCATTTGCTTTAGGTGAATGCGCAAATTGTTTTCTGCGCATTACCTTATCTCTTCTCTCGTGCAGGTTGCGGACATTAAAACTGAGATGGCAAACATTCGGAAAGCTCTCAAGAAACTCCAGGTTCTCTCTCTTTTCTTTTTCTTTTTTGTTTTTCGGTAACTCAAGTAAGAGCTTTACGTTTAGGATGCCCATGAGGATACCAAGACTGTCACAAAATCCGATGTCATGAAAGGTATGCTGTTGTCTCAATCGCTTTCTCTTTTTCGGATTGAAATCACACAATGCAATGTCTCTCAGCCAAGAAGAATGAGATGGAAGCACAAGTCGATGTAGTCACTAAAATAACGCAGGACATTAAACATAAAATAGAGTCGCTAGACAAAGCGGTAAGCTATTTTATATTCTCTTTTGTATGCTCTAACCATTACTGCAGAACATTCTGAATAGGAAAAAATCAAACTGTGGGGAAGGATCTAGCACTGACCGCACAAGAATGTCAATGACAGTGTAAGCTCGTTTCTACTTTCCGCTAGCAAAGCCTTTGACTGACCTTAAGAATAATACAACAGAACGCTGAAGAAGAAACTCAAAGACGTGATGCAAGAATTCCAGGTACCAAAAGTGCACAAACTTTCTCCCGTTTTTCTTGACCACGGAACCGCAGAATCTAAGACAAAAACTACAAGATGAGTATCGCGAAGTCGTAGAAAGAAGGATATTTACAGGTTTCCGACCATCCTAATCCACAAAGAAACTGGTATATTTCAAGCACTTTGATTTTTCCTTTCTTTCTTTTCTTACACCTTTTGTGTCCTGCTGGTAGTGACTGGTCAGAAGCCTGACGAAGAGGTGAGTTGGTTCTGGGACTCCGATTCCGAAGTGAATCTCACGTTTGGTTACTTCTTTTGGGTACAGACTGTTGACAAGTTGATCGAAACTGGAGACAGTGAGACAATTTTTCAAAAGGCTGTTCAGGAACAAGGCCGAGGCCAAGTAAGCACTCTTTGATCCTGCATTTTCTTTGCTGCTAGCATCACTATCCTCGCTCTAGATACTCGATACAATTGCTGAGATACAAGAACGGCACGACGCAGTGAGGGACATTGAGAAGAAGCTGCTGGATTTGCATCAGGTAGCTCGATAAATTTATCAATCCTTTCACGGTGTTTGCTCTCAGATCTTCATGGATATGGCCGTGTTGGTAGAAGCTCAAGGAGAGATGCTGGACGACATTGAGAACCAAGTAAGAGAAGAACTAGAAAGAGGAGGAAGTTTCTGACGATTAGAACTACTTCAGGTGTCAAAAGCAGTGGATCACGTCCAGACGGGAACCGCAGCGTTGGAGA